CAGAATTGCCCCCTCACCACTCCCTTCCAGTTCATGTGATTTGGGTGGGGCTGGCCCTACAACAGGCTAGACTAATAGAGGAACATCAAAGATTTTTGCTTCAGCTATTGGAAAAGCAGTATTCTTTTCATTCTGTTTTTTTAAAAAAAACAAAAATTTCCAAACATGTTGCATATCTTGTGCCTTGTGCCTGAATCAATCAATCAATAATCAGGTCTGTTCAACTCTTACTTGGCAACTGATCTCATGTCTGTCCCTTTCATCCCATGGCTACCAACTTAGGGGAAGAACACTTAACTCTCCTTTATTTGCTCCAAATATGAAGAAATAGTAAAGAGCAGACAAGCCTTGTCGATTGCCCAGGCCCTACAATTTACTACAGCATAACCTCAGAGGAATTACTTACTCTGAGTCTAGGCATCTTTGTTTGGAATAACACCACCTCTCTCATGGGGATGTCAGGACAAATAAGTCAATATACAGAATGTATTTAGCACAGTGGTGGGAACACAGTTAACATGCAAAGCAAGGTATCACCATCATCCCCCAAAACTCATACTCTTAGACCCAAACTCAAAATACAGAAAAAGTTTTGGGTACACAGTATTTATAATTAAAATTAAAATTATTTATAATTAAAATTAGAAAAAAACCATAGGAGGAGCCTGGGTGGCTCAGATCATGATCCCAGGGTCTCGGAATTGAGCCCTGCATTAGGCTCTCTGCTCCACAGAGGGTCTGCTTCTCCCTCTCCCAGTTGCCCTCCCCCCTTCTCGTGCACTCTCTCTCTCATGTAAGTAAATAAAATCTTTTAAAAAAAGAAGAAAACTATAGTCTAATTATGAAGGGATAATTAAGTAAATTATATAATTCAAAATAAGAATAGCAATAGCCAATGCCTATAAACACTTCTTATATGCAAAGTATTCTAAGTGTTTTATTTATTTATTTGACAGATAGAGATCACAAGTAGGCAGAGAGGCAGGCAGAGAGAGAGAGAGAGAGGAGGAAGCGGGCTCCCTGCTGAGCAGAGAACCCCATGTGGGGCTCGATCCCAGGACCCTGGGATCATGACCTGAGCCAAAGGCAGAGGCTTTAACCCACTGAGCCACCCAGGCGCCCCTACTCTAAGTGTTTTAAATGTACTAATACATTCAATCCTCACAGCAACCCTAGGAAGTAGGTAATATAATAATTCTTTTTTCACTATGTGAAAACTGATGCAGAGAGAGGTGAGGTAAATTGCCCCAGATAGTGGTGTGGCTGAGGTATAAACCTAGGCAGACAGGCTCCAGAGTCCATGTTCAAAGCCACTATACCTTGCTCTCTCTCCAATGAACTTTAAAAATTCTTTCTTCAACTTTAAATATTATAGGAAACAGGAGTTTTAATAATAATACAAGGATATTTGTATGTTAAAATGTGTATAAAGGCAAAATTGTAATATACAGTATCGTATCATCAGTAATGTACATGTCTTTTGTATGGTGGGATTAGGGAAAAATATGTCCTTCCTTATGCTCTCCTATACTGTACAATTTATACAATTAAAATGTAGTATGTTTAAGATCAGAAGATAATTTCCAAAATAAATTCTTATTCTATGTTAAACATCTGAACTCCCGCTTGGAATTCAATTCTGTTGCATTTCAGCCATATCTATATGATAAACCTTAATGGATCAAGGTTATAATCTAACATCCTGACTCCTATACCTAGATGACTAGTAAAAATAAATAATGGGAATAATGACCAGGAGAGAAAGATGAAACAATATACAGAGGTAAATCTCTTCATATAAAAATTTGATAACTATAACAAATAACATGGAGGACATGGGGAGATGGAGAGGAGAAGGGAGTTGAGGGAAACTGGAAGGGGAGGTGAACCATGAGAGACTATGGACTCTGAAAAACAATCTGAGGGTTTTGAAGGGGCGGGGGGTGGAGGTTGGGGGAACAAGGTGGTGGGTATTAGGGAGGGCAAGTATTGCATGGAGCACTGGGTGTGGTGCAAAAACAATGAATACTGTTATGCTGAAAAGAAATAAAAAAAAATTTTGATAACTATAGAAAGGTATTAAGGAACAGAAAAAAAGAGTACTAATCACAGAGCAGAAATCAGCTGTATTCAGAAAGAAAAGCTTTTGTCCCTAAATTTTTACTTACTAATGTGCTATATAGATTAGAGAATTTGTAAAATACTCTGTTATAAATCTGAAATATTCTGAGTGTTATGTTAAGTGTTAAGAAAACAGCCCTCATAAAGAAAGATAAAGGCAAAATAAGAAGCAACTAAAAAATGCTAGCATTTTTTACAACACAAATGAGAAATAACGCAAGACAAAGGAATCTGACAAATGAAGCAAAGCAGTGGACTAAAATTGTATCTAGGTAATGCCAGATGGTGCCTCAGGTGCAGGCCCTGTGTCATGTGTTAATAATATTATAATATATAATGTCAAAAGCAAATGGTAATCAGAGACAGAGAGACATGTGACTTTGCAATTTTTATCTCGGGAATGGTGAAAATGGGCTCTCAAATAGGTTTTTGGAGTCAGATTTCTTTGGGAAGGGACTCAGTTATAAACAAAAGGAACATACAGATCTGAATGGTCCAGAATCCCACTGGCACTGCCATAACCAACATAAACAAACCAAGTGCTCATGAATCTATACTACCTCACTGTCACCACAGAGGAACGCAAGAACGGGGACTGGAAGAAAGCAAAGCTCATTATCCTGATGGCTTCTGTGATATTGCCTCTATTGGTTAACAATCATACCTACCTAATTTCTCAATTGTTTTTCTGGTGCCCTGGCTACTGCCAAAAAAAAAGGTCAAACCTTCCACAAGTAACAAGATTTAGGAAAGGAAGTCATTAACTTTGCAGTGGGAGATGAGCAACATCTCCCACTGTCCTCAGCAGCTATTTCAAATCTCAGGTGTTACTCTTTTCACTCAGCAGAGCTTACCTTTTAATTAACCCTGAAAACTGAAGCAACCGAGTAATTGCCTCAATTTCCCATCTGCCTTAACCACAGTGGAACTCACCTCTATCTCTATCTACTCTTCCTTCTTCCCTGCAGTCTCCTCAGGGGAAGGGTGACCATTCTCCTATTCAAGACAGCACTTCCTAACCTCCTCTAGGTACTTTGCTTAATCAACTCCTCAGAAAACTATATCCGTTTTATCTCACTTGGGAAAGGGAGGCAACAGATAAAAGCAAGTTCCACAACTATTATTAACTAAGGCTTTTTTCTTAGCTCCTAAAGCCGCAAACAAATAAGCCAAACTGTGTATCACACTGGTTACATTACTTCCCACAAAAAGGACTGCCTTGAAGTGACTTCAGAACACAGAATTTTGGTATTAAAGGACAAAGTGATCCATAAACAAATTAAAATTTTTAACATAGTTTAACATAATATCCAGGTTGATATTGTGAAGATATTTACTTTGTTAAAAAAAAAAAGTAATGTTCTTACATATGATATATTGTGGTTGAATAGGAGAATATTTTCAACTCCAGGACATGCATGCTTAAATGTTTAGGGGTAAACTGTCATGATGTCTGTAACTTACTTCATTTATCAGAAATTTATTCTGCCATATTCCAGCGGTCATGCTCAGCAGGGAAATCTGCTTCTCCCTCTCCCTCCATCCTTTCCCCTGCTCATGTTTTCTCACTCTCTCTCTCAAAGTCTTTTTTAAAAAATAAGTAAGTAAAATTTTAAGAAAAAAAATTTTTAAGTCCTATTATTTCTCAACACTTAAAGTCAACCTCTGGATGGAACACCTGATTGTGACGGCAAAAGAAAATGTTAGCAACCCTAACGATTTAAAAGGAAATACCTGATAAAGGCAAAACATAGAGACGAGGAAAGGAAAAATAGGGGTGCTTATTAATTCACTTTATATGAAGGAGTATGAAGGAACTGGCTACAGAGAGAACAGTTCATATACATTATAATTATATTTGATATGTAAAAAATAATACTGATTATGAATTTCCAGAAAGAAAGAGAAGATGGAATAGAAAAAGGAAAAGTAGTGTCAATGAACTAAATCCTCATCTTTCATATGAGAAAGTCAACTGACACTAAATTAATCTGATAAACAGTATTCTTTACATCAAAGTTATGTCTTGAACACAAACTCACCTGTTGAGGGTTCAGAAGACATAATATTATATCTAGACTAACCCACCCCCCACACCTCTTCTGGATGTTGATTATGTGTGCTTATGTGCACAAAAGTGCATGAGAATGTACTTTTGTACAGAAATACTATGTCATTTCTAAGATTACACTGTGAAAGAATGTATGCGTGTTTGCACATACGTGTATACACTTTAAATGCACAACTTTATTTCAGCATTTCTGTCTAAAAGTTAAAAAAAAAAAAAAGAAAAAAACATCACTAGAATGCAAGAGGTAGTCAGGAAAGGGAATATCCTGGTTAACTGAAAACTGAGATTCACTGAAATTTAATCTATTCTTACAAGGTTTATAAAACATTCCTCATAGCAATCTACTATCCTACAGGAAAATGGCATCCCCTCTCACTATACAAAGGTTAACGCTAATCTTAATGAAGTGAGAAGTGCAACTGATCTTAAGAACTACTGAAGGAGTAGTGGAAGGAGGAGGCACTAAAAGTATTTGAAAGCTATTTCAAAAGTCTTAAGATGATTTCACAGGAAAAATCAGATTAAGTAAATACATGTTGGTGAACCTCGCAAATCTGAAGGACAAAGTAACAGAAGAAAATATAGGATATCATATTGTTACCATCAGAAAGAACTTTCTAACAATTAAAACTATGCAACAACAGAATAAACTGGCTATAATAGCCTGATCCTCCATCGCTCTGTTGTTTAAATAAAGACTAGAAATCATCCATCTATAATGTTGAAAACTGGTGAAAAACTGAACTAGATAATCCCTGAAGTAATATGTGTCATTGTAAGAGTTCTAAACTAATAAATTTTAACTTACCAACATCCATTGCAGTTTCCATGAAGCTTTTCTGTCGTGAAGCAAACTCTGCAAGCAATTTCTGCTGCCTCTCTCGAGCCTTTTGTCGCCTAGATTAAACAGAAATAAAGTGATATGTATCAGACGTGTTTAAGACTTACTAAATTTCAGGAGTGTATACTGTATGAAAAGCCTCTGGCACACAGTTGAGGACAATCTGAGAGAATCTTTAAGTAGATTCCCCACTGAGCGGGTATCCCAATGTGGGTCTTGATCTCACAACCCATGAGATCATGACCTGAGCCAAAACCAAGAGTCAGATGCTTAACTAAACTAAACTAAACTAAACCACTCAGGCACCCCTCCACTGTTGAAAGATGGTTTGAAGATCACTGGCTTAAAAAGGTAAAAATAAAAGCCAAGATTTACTTTAAACTGTGAAATAATTAAAACAGAAAATTTGGATTTTCAACAACACAATTTCCTAAGTATATGTCAGTTGGTAGCAAGAGTAAGAAAATTCTTTTTAGCAAAGAACCCACAATTTAACCCCAGGCACAAATAACAGCAAACTGGTTGCTAGATGAAGCTAGGATGTTTAGATATGAACAAAATCTAAAAGATATGAATAGTAAGATTTACTGTTACATTAAGAATAGGCCTTTCCTATAAAAGACCTCAATGTGAGGCAGGAATCCATCAGAATCCTAGAGGAGAACATCGTCAGTAACCTCTTTGACAACGGTTACAGCAACTTCTTTCAAGATATGTCTCCAAAGGCAAAGGAAACAAAAGCGAAAATGAACTTTTGGGACTTCATCAAGATCAAAAGCTTCTGCACAGCAAAGGAAACAGTCAACAAAACAAAGAGGCAACCCACAGAATGGTAGGAGATATTCCCAAATGACAGTACAGACGAAGGGCTGATGTCCAAGATCTATAAAGAACTCCTCAAACTCAACACACACAAAACAGATTATCACATCAAAAAACGGGCAGAAGACATGAATAGACACTTCTACAAAGAAGACATACAAATGGCTAACAGACACATGAAAAAATGTTCATCATCACTAGCTATCAGGGAGATTCAAATCAAACCACACTGAGATACCACCTTATACAAGTTAGAATGGCCAAAATTAACAAGACAGTAAACAACATGTGTCAGAGAGGATGTGGAGAAAGGGGAATCCTCTTACACTGTTGGTGGGAATGCAAGTTGGTGCAGCCACTTTGGAAAACAGTGTGGAGATTCCTTAAGAAATTAAAAATAGAGGGTGGCTGGGTTGCTCAGTTGGTTAAGCAACTGCCCTCAGCTCAGGCCATGATTCCAGAGTCCTCAGATCAAGTCCCACATCAGGCTCCCAGCTCCATGGAGAGTCGGCTTCTCTCTCTGACCTTCTCCCCTCTCATGCTCTCTCTCACTGTCTCTCTTTCTCAAATAAATAAATAAAACCTTAAAAAAAAAGGAATTAAAAATAAGAGCTTCCCTATGACCCTGCAATTGCACTATTGGGTATTTACCCCAAAGATACAGATGTAGTGAAAAGAAGGGCCATCTCTACCCCAATGTTCATAGCAGCAATGGCCACAATCGCCAAACTGTGGAAAGAACCAAGTTACCCTTCAACGGATGAATGGATAAAGAAGATATAGTCCAACTGTTGGTGGAAATGCAAGCTGGTACAGCCACTCTGGAAAACAGCATGGAAGTTCCTCAAAAAGTTGAAAACAGAGCTATCCTATGACCCAGCATTCGCACTACTGGGTATTTACCCTAAAGATACAAATGTAGTGATCCGAAGGGGCACGTGCACCCCAATGTTTATAGCAGCAATGTCCACAATAGCGAAACTATTGAAAGAACCTAGATGTCCATCAACAGATGAATGGATAAAGAAGATGTGGTAGATACACACAATGGAATACTATGCAGCCATCAAAAGAAATGCAATCTTGCCATTTGCAAGGATGTGGATGGAACTAGAGGGTATTGTGCTGAGCAAAATAAGTCAATCAGAGAAAAACAATTATCATATGATCTCCCCGATATAAGGAAATTGAGAGGCAAAGTGGGGTTTGGGGAGTAGGGAAGGAAAAAATGAAACATGATGGGATCGGGAGGGAGACAAACCATAAGAGACTCTTAATCTCACAAAACAGAGGGTTGCTGGGGGGAAAGGGGTAGGGAGAGAGTGGCTGGGTTATGGACAATGGGGAACGTATGTGCTATGGTGAGTGCTGTGAAGTGTGTAAACCTGGTGATTCATAGACCTGTACCCCTGGGGCTAATAATACATTATATGTTAATAAAAAATAATTTTTTTTTAAAAGATATGGTCCATATATACTATGGAGTATTATGTCTCCATCAGAAAGGATGAATACCCAACTTTTGTATCAGCATGGACAGGACTGGAAGAGATTATGCTGAGTGAAATAAGTCAAAGAGAGAAAGTCAATTATCATATGGTTTCGCTTATTTGTGGAGCATAAGGAATAACACAGAGGACATGGGGAGATGGAGAGGAGAAGTGAGTTGGGGGAAATTGGAGGGGGAAACGAACCATGAGACTATGGACTCTGAGAAACAAACAGGGTTTTGGAAGGGAGGGGCGTGGGAGGTTGGGTGAGCTGGTGATGGGTATTATGGAAGGCACGTATTGCATGGAGCACTGGGTGTGGTGCATAAACAATGAATTCTGGAACACTGAAAAGAAAAAATAAATAAATAAAAATTTTAAAAAAAAAAAAAAGAATAAGTCTTTCCTAAAAGAGAATGAGCAGAGAAGCCAGAGATTTCCCAGTTTCTACTAAGATTTCTTTCTTCTAAGTTTAGTTTGTTTCAAGTAAAAAAAAAAAATGTGTCTCAAATATGACAAAGAATAAAACTATATTCCAAACCTAAGCATAAATATTCCTTTGGATTAATTCATCAGTTATGAATTATTTATTATTTAGCCTATGCAATGATGAATTATTGAACTCTACACGTGAAACTAATGATGTACTATATGGCTAACTGAATTTAATTTAAAAAAAATTAAATATATCCTCAAAGGACAAAAATTTGCACCATAGAAGAAATGGAAACAAAGATGTGCTAGAAATGCTCGAAGCATTTTGTGGACCTCCAAAAATGCTGTCAGAAACAATAGCATTGACATAATACAAGTTTGGTCTCCTACATCACTACTCTGTAAATTTATAAGTTTATGTTTCTTGAATTAAAACAATCAGTTATGCCACTCTATAAATCACCTTTACATGTACATTTAGAGTATAGCCATAAAAGATATTTCAAATAATAATTCCATGTACCAAACATAAGGAAGCCACAAATGTAACTGCTTAGCACTAGTATTAAAATGCATGTCTACTCTCCCACAACCACATAAGCCTAGAAGACTGCATGTAAGCTCCAGATAATTATGACTGTAACCTTGATTTTAGCCTTGTGAGACTGTAAATCGAGAACCCTGTCATACCACACCTACATTTCAATATACATTAACAGCGAGTAAATAAACGAATGCTGTTTTAAACTGTTTAAAGAAAAAAATTCTATCCTCACTTTCTGTGATTTGCATAAAAAATGTATCAATTATTTTAACCTTGTGAATTTTTTATTAACTTAGGTAATTCTTTTCTAAAACTGGGCATAAATGTAAATAAAAATGAAAAGACAAACAAGTTCTGGCAGATTTCATACAACCCAAGAATTTTCCATTACTATACCAGAGGTGGAAACACTGAGGTTGCATATTGTTATAACTGTCTAAAGGTTTCCTTCCTATTTGTATCTTATTTTCTATGGAGTTACTATTACGGAAGTGATGCCAAGTTTGTCCATAGGTGACGTAGTTGGGACTGTATCACCATCAAGTGTTTATAACCTGTCTGGCCTTTATTAAATAAAACTTAATCCAAAATCCAAAATAAATTGAAAAAAGACGTGAGAAGCATAGTGAAATTCAAATAAATTCGTCTTAATCCTTCACCGTCTGCTATAGAATTAGCTTCAAGGACTTCTCAATATCATCAACATTACCACTCAAAGGAAACAAAGCCCAAAAGGGAGAAAAAAAAAAAAAACACCTTTTTTCAGACTATTATTTATTATAACAGCATTAGCGCCGCCTTTGTAAAAATGGCATCTGATCTACTCCCGTATCACATCTATTATGAGTAATTGTTACAAAATAAACCAAAATAACCAAATAAAATAAACTTTGATTCACTAAAAGTTTATCTTCTTTAAAAAAAGGACATTATTCTAAGTGTGTAAACCTGGCGATTCACAGACCTGTACCCCTGGGGATAAAAATACATTATATGTTTATTTAAAAATTTTAAAATTTAAAAAAATTTTAAAAATAAAAAAATAAAAGACATTATTCTATAACCAAGAAAATATGACCAATTTAAGAGGTTAATAAAAATAAGAATTTTACCTCGTTTTTCAACCTTCTAATTTTATCAGTAGATCTATTAAATCTTAGGCAGTTACTGATTCAAAATTAATGAACTGTCATATAAATTATATTTTAGTTATTTATAACAACTCCTATTTATGAAGTACTGTGAGAAATAAAACTCTTCGGGGCACCTAGGTGGCTCAGTGGGTTAAAGCCTCTGCCTTCGACTCCGGTCATGATCCCAGGGTCCTGGGATCGAGCCCCGCATCGGGCTCTCTGCTCAGTGGGGAGCCTGCTTTCTCCTCTCTCTCTGCCTGCCTCTCTGCCTACTTGTGATCTCTGTCTGTCAAATAAATATATAAAATCTTAAAAAAAAAAAAAATAGAAATAAAACTCTTCTACATTCTTTTTTTTCTAAGATTGATGGATTGATTTGAGAAAGAGAGAGTGCAAGGGAGGGGCAGAAGAAGAGAGAGGAGCAGACAGCCCAATGCAGGGCTCAATTCCAGGACTCTGGGATCATAACCTGAGCTGAAGGCAGATGCCTAACCGACTGAGCCACCTAGGCACATTCTCCTACATTCTTCATCTACTGAAGGCTTTTCTATATACTTTTAATATAAATGATCTGTAACAAATTTAATTGCATCAGAAATGAAGTACAACTATATATGTGATTTAAATTGCTCCTGATAGTTACCAAAGGACAACCTCCTAAGTACTGAATCAAATGGAACTGCCAATCTTACCTGAACTTCTGTAGTGTAATCTCACTGTTTCTTCCATTCTCAACCCCCTTGAACACCACTCTCTACAGTGTTCCTCCTCTTTCACTCTAGCCATCCCTTTCCAGTCACTTTTAGAGGTATTCCTTTCTCAGTCATTCCCTTTAATGTTTTTTTCTTATTCTATAAAAGTTTTATAGTAAGTGTTCTCATTTCTTACTATACACACTCTTCCATATAAGTCTTTAACTACTTACCTATATGCCCACATCTAAAGTGCTAACTCAGAATTCTCCCCTAAGTCTCAAACCCTTTATCTGACTGGACGTCTTCACCTGGATGTCCTCTTTAAATTCAGTAATGGACAAAATTGAGCATGATCAACTTTACTGCTAAGCCTAAGCGTCTCTTATCTTGGTCCCCAGCCTCTCCTATACTGGTAAACAGGAACATTATCCAAGAAAGATTTTTATTTTTAAATACAAATATTACAATTTAACAGGGGCATCTAGCTGGCTAGATTGGTAGAGCAAGCAACTCTTGATCTCAGGGTCATGAGTTTGAGCCCCACATTAGGAGTAGAATTCACTTAAAAAATTCTTTTAATGTAAAAAAAATTTTAAGTACATTATGATTTAACAACAAATTAAAAGCAACCTGAAGTTCTAAAAGCTAGAGCTATAAGTATGTTTTGAAACATTACTTGTTCAATAACTAGTGATCATTTGTTGGAAAGATTGGAAAAGGCTAAAAAAACAAAAAACAAAAACAATCAAATTTTTATTCTGAGAAATATTAGGGTATTTTTTTTTTAATTTTCTATTCTCATTTAAAGTTGAATTGAGGATAGTTTTTTAAAGAAGCAGAATTGTTAGATAATCTACTAAGAGCAATTTTTCTAAAAGGGGCTGCCTACAAGTTTAGGGTAATAATTTAATGCTGGGGTCAGCATTTTTTCATCCCCAACTAACTCAAGCATAATACATGCCCAAGCACTGACTGTGTTTGGTTCCCTTTATCTTACAAAGGAATCAGCTATGACTATAGATGTTAAACATCCAGGTGATTAGCCTCAAATGGCCAAAAAAGGAGATCTATCAAATCTTCAACTGTACCAGACAACATGTTTAAAACATCAAAATAAAAATTACCTTTCTTCTTTGTCCAGTGTTTTCTTTTCTGCTGCAGTGATTTTTTTGGGTGGTACAGGAGGGGTCACTTTTCTACATATCTCTTCGATGATGCGTTTGTTCATTCTGCTTTGCAATGCAGCTTTTAGTAAAATTCTTTCTACTGCAGTTATACCATCTCCATGATTATATTTAGGAATTTCTGGTTGGATTAAAATTTCTATGTCATCAAGCCAAGGAGGATAGTAGGAGTTTTGTTTTCCTGAGAGTTTGTGATGAAGTTTAATTAACAAAGACAATATGCTTTCTTTAATTTCCAAAATGGCTGTAGTTAACTGTGGAGCCGAACCAGGAGCAGACCATTTACTTGAAGTTTTGGGACGAACCACCTGATTTGCTTCACTGCTACTGCGATTGATGATCTCTTGAAACTTCTTTCTACGCTCTGCTACTAAGCTGAAAACTTGAGCTGTACCAGAATTCTACCGTTAAAAAAGAGAAAGAAAATCAAGAGAAGTTATTCAGTGTTAAGTGTAAAAATATGTTAGCACTATAATGTTCAAAGTTTCATCTGAGGATTTATTCAATAGATTTGTCCTTTGAGTAAGTCTATCCCTTTACCTCTCTTAAATATATTTAGTCTCATTCAATCTGGAAACAATTCTGAGGAGAAAGACGGCTATTCACAATAATACCTCTTTCTCAGCCTCCTAGGCCTATCTACCAGGAAAAACAGACAAAGCCTGAGTAGTATCTATAGCCACATTAAAGAGGAATCCTACACTAAGTTCCTCACCAGTTTACAGGAATAAAAGATGTTCCACCACTATTCATTAAGACTACTATATTCTTCGAATATAACATTGTATGTCAACTATACTTCTACTAAAAAAAAGAAAACTATACTCTTTACTAACTTGCTACATTTTCTAGTTAAGTAAATTATAAATTTTTTTAGTTAAGTAAATTATAAATTACAAATTTTTTCCTAAATTGATGGATCTGAACTACTAATTAATTTCATTTCTAAAGAACTTCAAAGTTTGAAAATTACTTCTAACACACAGTTACTAAAAGGAAATATAAAGATGAAAAACCAAACTGATTTGTGTCATATCTGAATACCACTATAATTTGTTATTTGAACAAATTTTAAATATTTCTCTCAATAATTTATCTTCTAAATAGTCTTTTGTTCAAGCAGTCAAGCTGCATCAGAGCTCTTAGAAATCATCTTTTAATTAGGATCTGAGTCAATTTAATGGATTTAATTTTTTTTAAGCAAGCACTGAAAGGATGCTCCAGTATCAGTTGAGCTTTTATGAGCTAAATTATAGTATACACTATTTTTTAACATCCAAACTATTTTTCAAAGTACTCTGTACCAACATTAGAGGCAAAAGCTGCTTCTTATTAAGATTTCAGTTTAATCAAAATTCTTATGGTGTTCACAGTAAAAATACGTTGTCAAAGGCAAAGAAAGCTCCTATAAATGGACCCTACTAAGAGAAACATCTGATGCAGTGCTCTCTACCCACAAAAATAGATTGTACAGATTAGAGGTGATTAAGTTTAGTTACTTGGTATGTCATTTTAAGATTTTTCATTTCTGCCTTTTAAAAATTAGTTAATTAGCTACATGCAATGAAAAAGGTGGTTTTCAAACTAAATCCAAATACACAATATATTAAGATTTGTGTGGGCTTATTTTATCAAAGTTAATTAATTGCCTTAGAAGCAAAAAAAAAAAAAAAAGAAAAGAAACTATAAATGGACATGCTGCCAGCAATTAAAGATTAAATTTATTTTGATTTAGGAAACATTCATTTTTAAGATGTTAGTAACAATGCTAAATACAAACAGACCTAAATGTGCTGTTTATAATTTGTCCAAAATCCTAAGAAATACACACTATTAAATACTACGTATTATTTTTTTAACTTCAGTAATATGAATTTTCTTTAAAATTAAACCTAAATCACTATATAAAAACACACACACACAGTAAACTTTTTTTTAATTTAACCATATTAAACACACACATATACACACAAATACTTCAAAGTGTTTTTCCGATTTCCAGTTAAAGCCATATTGCTAGTTAATGCAAATATTATGTACATCTACCTCTCTTTGAAGAACTTTTGGCCTTCGTGAACTCTGGCAGATTAAAGGAAAAAGAGGGGTGAGGAAGAAGTTGCTTAGATATATAATAGGAAACGAAAGACAATTTAAAGTTACCTAAAACCACATTTTTCTTTTGAGTATCATAGGATGATCTAAACAATATACCGCAACATAACATAGAGTCTTTCCTTTTTATCCTTCCCTCTTCTACACTTACTTGTAAAGAACTCAAGCTGTCAGAGCTGGTACTTGCAAGTGAGTCTCTCTTCACTTCTGGAGCAGTCTCTGGAACTCTCACCCTAACATAGTTTATAAAGTGTCTCATGTTTGACACTAAGTTACTGCCAGGAAACCAACTGTCGTGACAACGTTCTGGTCCACACACTGATGCCTAAAACATGAACATCATGAATATGAAACCTTGTCAAATCTGCTCTAACATACAAAGTAGATGTAACCAGCCCAAACAATCATCCACTGCCTGTCTTATTTCCAAATCCTTTACAGTCTCATCTTCAATATATATATTATAAAATGCTAATAAACACAAATCCAAACATAAAATACAAGAATAAATTTCTCAATACTAATATGGTAAGTTCAATGGAAATCAGCTAAATTTCTCCTGAAAAAAATACATTTTTCAATCTGGAAATACTTAACAGTACAGAATATTTTTCAGCATCTATTAGTAATAACTCATAATATAGTCAAGTAATCCTAATGTGGACTAACTGCAGAAGAAAGTCTGAAAAATCAAAGTCTGACCTAGTCTTAGGGAAATATTAATGATCTTTGAATATCTACGGAAGAATATATGTTGACTCAACTTAGACAACAACATACTGCCTAGTCTTTTTACTTGTTTTTTTTTTGCTGTTACTATGCTGTGCTATATTTTGTCTTTTTGGAGAGAAGGGATAAAGGGAATCTTACACTTGTAAAATCAATTTCTAGTAACAACTGTTTTTATGGAAATGATACTTCTAAAGTCCTATAACATATTAACAACCTGTATTCTTGAATACTTTAAAAATTCTCCCATATTTACTTCATATACTTAAAACCTTCCCAAAAAGAATCTGCTACTCAAAAATAATCCCTAATCAAATTATTAGGAATTCTAGATGGAAATCCTAATGTAAGAATTATTAGTCAGTAGTCAATGTTATCAGCATAACACCAAAAGTACACTAACCCCTTTTCTTAGATCCACATTTTATGAATTATAAATTTCAAATTCAATAATATCATAAGTAGAGGGAAACCTCTAAAAGAATATATATACTTGAAGATCAAAAAGGGCCTTTTCCAGTAGTTAAGAATATCTCCTGTGTATGATGAATCCATAAATACATTTCCAGATGACACACTACCTTTGTTAAGGCATTTTATAATTTTAATATTTAAAAACATAAGAAACTAACTTACCTCTTCATCTGATTCCTCTTCAGCTGAATTTTCAAGTCCTAATTCAATCAGATACAAAACCATGCAGAGTACGTGTTCTGACAGATTTTGATGGTCCATCAAAATCTTTAAAGAGGGAAAAAATGCCTCATAATTACTTTTTCTGCACAATATATTTTACCCAAAAATATGTTGTTATAGATGAAAATGACATAATTATATATATAAATAAATGTACAGCATGATCAGAAAATAAGTAAAGCTACATCTTAGTAAAAAGACAAACTAAAATCAAAAGAACAGGTTCCTTTTCAAGATCACACAGAATTTTAAACAATATCTAGAAATACTGGTTCATGGATTCCTAAAGGTAATACATTAAGTAGTCCACTAAATCCATCATTATATACTACTAGTATCTAATAAAATAATTTAACAAGCATGTTTTGCATCCTCGTTTGCTGATACTCTTTCTCCTGATGACAAAAATACCAGATAAGTGCAGTAAATAAGATAATTCATGCAAATGTATTTAGCATAGCACCTGGCATATAACTGGAAGCATAATAAATATTTATGAAATATTAATGTTCTTAAAATGTCTCTAAAATTAAAGTTCCCAGCCTGAGTATTTTGTGCAGATGAGTATATGTATGTATAAGTATGTGGTTTATATGGGTGAGAAAGGAAAAAGGGATGCAACTAGGTAAGAGAGGCTTCTCTAAGGAAACATCGATAAATCTGACTTTATGTGGATTACACATTGCAAGCTTTACATAGCTTATGCGGGATTTCAGGGCTAACCTACAATAATCATTTATTATATATGACGCAACAAACTACTACCTGGAAGATACCTAAAATATCCTAAGAAAAAAAATGGCCTGGCAGCCATCATGTTGTCCTCACTATAAGAAACCCTTCTGGCCAAATGATGGAAGGGGTACAAAGAGGAGGTTCTGTGGGAATACCTTGCTAGCTGCAGGTGAGACTGTAGAGAGTACAAAAGAGGACATTCTAGAATGGGGCTCATAGAAACTGCCCAAATGGCTGGGAAGGCTTAAAAAAGGACTTGTCACCTAAGAACTAATTTATTCGGACTAAAGAACAAAGACTTTCAGTTAGCTGCCTTTCTAATGTTTATTTTGACTACTAAGAAGGCTTTTCTGTTCATCTTTGGCACAGTGGTGAAGACAGTAAACTTTCATAATCTTTTAAAAACCTGTTTTATACAAATTCTGTATATACCTAGCTATTTGACCTTGAGCAACAGATTCTGGCCTTAGTTTTCTCATCTTTATAACTGGAACAATAGACCAGAATTATTGTGAGGATTATACAAGGTAACAACTACAATTTGTGTAGTAGAGTATCTATCAATTGGTGTTCCACAAACAGTAGGCAGGTAGTGCAGATGGTGGGAGGAACAGCATCAGGAGGAGGTGACTGTAGGCTGGGAGACAACAGAGATCATCCTTTCTAATCCACTATTTACAGAGAGGAAACCAACGCTCAGCCACACAACCAACTAGTATGAACAACACTAGAACAGATTTCAGACTCCCAACTATGACCTATCATTACTACACTGCCTCTTCTTGATAAATAAAACATTACTAACTAAACTCAAATATATTTTGGCTTGAAATCTTATGACGGTGAATCCTACAGTTTCAAATGAGTAACCTAAAAGCTAAGAAAAAAATGACTAAGAATAATTTTCTGAGTTTCATTAACATATTCTATATTAATGTTTTTTAACATTATCTGAAACTGGGTAAGATGAATAGTTTCCCACAAAGAATGGTGTAGTTACTCCACTTTCAACTTAGAATTCACATATATGTGTTTATGACATATCCTCACACCCCTTTAATATGAATAGTATTTAGTATAAATACACCTTGCTTTATAAATAGTACTTTTATGTAAATATTATGTTAACACTTTTATTTGAAAATTATGGAAATTAATTCTAATCTGATTCTTTCTATTCAAATTACTACTGTACCTTGTAAAGCAGAGTGAATAGCACAATGTGTAAAGTTTTACAGTGCAAAAGTCTCATGAGACCTTTATAGCTGGGATGCAGTGGCGTCCTTTTCTTATAGGGAGGCCAGGGATTTCCAGGGAATTTTCCACTCTGTTTTAAACTGTAAAAATAAAGCAAAACTAAAATTAGGTGATAGATTTAAGATTAAACTGTGGTTTAAATAGTTTTCTATAATTTTTTTCATATTTTTCTATGCAGTACCATTTTTAATTAAATTGCTCAAAAATGCCAAACAGATAGCTATTCTTTCATAATAAACATGTTGTATAGAATAAAAATGAGTAGGGAGACCTAAGCTGAAAACTAGAAAAAAGAAATATGAGGGGCACCTGGGTGGCTCAGTGGGTTAAAGCCTCTGCCTTCGACTCTGGTCATGATCCCAAGGTCCTGGGATCGAGCCCCACATCAGGTTCTCTGCTTGGCAGGGAGCCTGCTTCCACCCTCTCTCTCTGCCTGCCTCTCTGCCTACTTGTAATCTCTGTCGGTCAAATAAACAAACAAAATCTTAAAAAAAAAAAAAAAGAAAAGGCACTAACAATGTGATTACCAATGATTTCAAAGTCCTTGAGCAGGCAGATCTCAAGGTATTAGGCTCATACAAGGTTTAGAGATGGAACTGAGATTCCACATAAAGCTGACACCTTTGAAAAGCTTCACCCTCAAATAACAGCAGACTCAAAACACAAAAGGCAAAGTCTGAGAGAATTACACAAGAAACTGACAAATTCACAAACATAATAAAGGATATTAACACATTTCTAACAGAAAGCCTAAGAAAATAAATTGATTAGGATGTTGAAGACTGTTTTTAAAGATTTATTTATTTATTTGAGTGAGAGAGAATGTGCATGTGGGGAGGAGTAAGGGGAGAGAATCTCAAGCAGACTCCCCGCTGAGCACAGAGCCACACACAGGGCTTGACCTCATAATCCTCTGATCATGACCTGAGCCAAAATGAAGGGTCGGACGCTTAACTAAGCCACTCAGGAGCCCCAGGATTTTGAAGGTTTTTAAATATCATTAATAGGCTTGAACCAAAGACATTTAAAGATCATCCAATAATTAGAGAATACATATAATCTTAAGTGCATTTAGACTATTTAGGGAAATTTACAAAATATTAGAATTGAAAGTAAATTTCAAAAAATACCAAAAGAATGGATATATGGGCCACAACCACTTGTCACAAAGCAAATAAAATTAGAAATCCACTAAATGATAACCCAAAACTTCAGACATGTAGACATTTTATCACACAATGCTCTTAGAAATTCACACATAATTAAAATCATAATAGAAAAATTTAAAATTTAGAACTCAAACTATACAGAAAAAAGCTGTGAAATACAAATTCAGTTGTAGAATACAACTAAAGCAGTACTTAGAAGGAAACTCCCAGTATTAAATGTGTTTGTTTTTGTAAAAGTCAAAAACTAAGTGTATAAGGGAGAAAATCCAAACTAAATTGAAAGAAGATAATAATAAAGAAGAAAAAAGTACAAAATAGAAAACAAGGGGGAAAGGAAGAAACAAAATCAAAGTTTATTCTTAAAAAAAAAAAATAGTAAAACTGGCAGTCCTCTGATAAGATGATGAGGAATAAGAAACACCAAACACAAATAAATAAAAGGAATGAAAATAGGCAAAGACAATTTTTTAATTACTATATATTAAGACAAAATGTTTCCTAGAAAAATATAACTTGACCATCCCTTTCAAAAAGAAATTAAAATCCTAAGACTATAAGCTTTAAAGAAAGTGATTTATTTTTAAAATTACAACCCCCTCAAAAAAAAAAAAAAAAAATGAGGCCAGGTAGTTGAATACGCAAGTTCTGTCAAAACTTCAAGAAACATCTATCTAAGTAAGAATGAAGCTGGACCGCTATCATATACCGTATGTAAAAATTAACTCAAAATGCATCAAAGACTTAAATACAAGAGCTAAAACTATAAAACACTTAGAAGAGAACATAGGCATAAGTCTTTGTTACTTGAATTAAGCAACAGATACGACACCAAAAGCACAAGCAACAAAAGAAAAAACTAGATAAATTGAACTTCATTAAAATTAACTTTTGTGCATCAAAATACATTCAAAAAGTGAAAAGATAACCTGCAACCCACAGAATAGTAGAAAATATTTACAAATCCTATTTCTGGTGTTACTAGTCACAATATATAAAGAGTTCTTAAAATTTAATAGTGAAAAGATACTCCAATTAAAAATGCACAAAGGATCTGGACAGTTCTCCAAAGATGATACACAAATGGCCAATAAACACATAAAAATATGCTCAACATCATCAGCCATCAGGGAAAATGCAAATCAATGCTACAATAAGATACTACTTGACACCCACAAGGATGGCTATCATCAAAAAGATTCTAAGTGTTAGTAAGAGAAGGAGAAACTGGAATCCTCATACACTGCTGATGGGAAAGTATAAAGCTAAAGCTGCCTTGGAAACAATCTGGTAGTCCTTTAACAATTAAACATAGAGGGGAGCCTGCGTGGCTCAGTTAGTTAAGTAAGGTTAAGTGCCTGCCTTTGGTTCAGGTCATGATCTCAGGGTCCTGGGATAATGTCCTGCATCTGGCTTCCTGCTCAGTGGGGAGCCTGCTTCTCCCTCTACACCACCCCCCCCTCATCCACCCTCATGATCTCTCTTGCCATCCGCAACAACATGGATGGAGCTAGAGAGTATTACGCTAAGCAAAACTGGTCAGTCAGAGAAGGACAAATACAGTTGATTTCACTCATTGGTAGAATTTAAGAAACAAAACAAGGAAGCAAAGGGGGAAAAAAGTAAGAGAGAGAGAGAGACAAATTAAGAAATGAGTCCTTAAGTATAGAGAACAAACTGATAGTTACCAGAGGGGAGGTGGATGGGGGGCAAAGGGGAGGAATGGGTTAAACAGATGATATGGACTAAGGAGTGCTCTTGTTGTGATGAGAACCTGGAGATGTATGGTGTTGCTGAATCACACTATATTATATACCGAAAACTAATATAACACTGTATATAACACTGCTAACTGGAATTAAAATAAAACTTAAAAAGATGGCATTTCACCAAATTAATCCATGAATTAATCTAAATGCTATTGATTAACTTCAATCAACACAATTTCAATCAAAATCCAACTATGTTTCATCATTAAGTTTCATATGATCATCATAAAATTCTAGGCAAAGAGCCAAGAATAAATAACTATTATAAATAGAAAAGAGAAGAAAGGAGGAGAATGAAGAGAAGTAAGAAGAGGAAAAAGAAGAGAAACTTAACAATATTTGTGGTAGTATGGGATTAACTTACAAACTGAACAAAAGAGATACAGATCTATACACATAAAGATACCTGATACAGTCAAGTGCCTTTATTAACAGTAGTTATGTTCTATAAAATCACCACAAACATTTAATTATTGCTCCCAGAAGAAATACAGGATTAGGTTCCTGTAAGTCTGAGGTCAATTTTGTTAATCAAAATTCCATTTGCATTACATTTGTCAATGTCCTTGTAAATCAAGACACTCTTATAACAATGAAAAATCTGCTTTTTCACGGGACCCTTTTCTAACTCTTAGCAAGTATTTTTAAAATTCTTCCACCTCATGATCTACAAAACCTGCCTTGCCTGTATATTTAACATTTTCACATTATACTACCTTCCTACCTTTTGAAAGAGGAAGCCAGCCAAGCACTAGCAAAAAAAGGTTTAACATTTTCCTGACCCTTGCTAAACATGAAAGGAATTTCTTTGGCTTTCAGCCTCACAACAAAGCTATCCGCCACACTTTTTTTATGAGTCTTCATTCACGAGTCCACAAATTTAGCTTTTAACCTTCCCATAGCTTCATCACACATTACAAGTGTTATTTTAACACTTTTTGGGAATGACCTCATGTACAGATCAGTGAATTTCCTCTCCCTCTGAATGTACCATATGAGTGATCCATTACCACTGAAGTCACAGCCAACAGCACTATAATCCATGAATGAACAAAGCATATCTAACAATGAATTTTCTCTGGAAGGCACAGCAAAGCCTTCTGGCCCTTAGGAACACCAGACAGCACTTTGGTAGTACATTTGGGGGCCACTTTAAATAGCAAAATCAAACAAAAAGAACAAAAATGCAAAAACATAGCATTAAATACACCACAAAAAAATACTTGATTAAAGCATGAGAGCTGGAAGAGAGGGCAGAACTTTGCTCTGTCTAACCTCAGCTGATGCACTCTGCATGTTCATACACACCTGCAAATACCCAGGAAAAACTACAAGTATTAATTGTGGATTCAAAACTTTAGCAAGTAGCCAAATTTGCAAATAAAGAATTTGCAAACAATGAGGATCAACTATAAATGACAGAATTAGCATATTAAAAATCAGTAAGAAAGGAATGAATCACTACCACAAACAAAAATCAATTCCAGATGGATTAGAGATCAAATGTAAAAAGGAAAACTTGAGAACTAATAAACTTTAGACGACCTAATAGAAAAACTGGCAAAAAATAATCCATACACAGTTCTCACAGCAAGAAACATGGAAAGAAATCAATAGATTTTTTAAAAGCTCAATCTCACCTAATAATCCAGGCAATGCAAATTAAAGTGAGTTACAAATACAGCACTTGAAGTTAAAAATCAAAGAATGAACGTTAAGTATTTAATTTTACTTTCACGCTAAACTGCAACAGAACTATAGTGATGGTATTTTTTAAAGGACGAAAGCCACAAAGATGGGGAAAGTCACCAAAAAAAAAAAAAAATCAAAGATTTTGTTAACTAGGAAGCATATGGACACCTGGTTAACTCATCTAGTAGCGTTAAGAAAACCAAATCACAAGAAGGTAATGGGGAAAGCTGAGCATCAATCCAAGTAACACCAGAGAATCCTCAAAAGGCTCAGAAACCAGCAGCACCTGGTACTTTGGTTAAATGGAGACAGACGATTAGAAGTGCTCTCCCAGGGGTACATAGGTGGCTCAGTCAGTTAAGGGTCTGCCTTCCATTCACGCGTTGATCCCAGGATTTTGGGATCAGCCCCGCATCAGGCTCCCTGCTCAGTGGGGAGTCTGCTTCTCCCTCTCCCTCTGCCCCTCCCCTGCTTGAGCACACCTGCTCGCTCGCTCTCTCAAACAAATAAAATCTTTAAAAAAAAAAAGAGTATGAAGAACCTCAGACTATTTCTCCAAGGGTTTTAGAGAAAGGTAGACAGAGATGCTGATGGCTGAACAAGCTTTTGCTTTCTGTCTTTGTTTTTGAGGAGGAGGGTCTGCTAAAACTCTACATTACAAACTACTTCAGATATATCTGTGATGGATCAAAAATTCAACATGTATCTTTTACTGCAAAGTCCTGGCAAAAGAGAAGCTTCAATTATACCTAATATCTATATTTACACTTGGATAGACAAATATTTTCTCAAGATCAAATAAATTTTTATCATTTAAAACTTGTTTTAAAACATAAAAATAAAAAAATAAAATTTTTAAAATATTTAATATATGCTTTAGAAAAGCAGATAAAAGATATGATGTTCAGCAATACAACATTTTTAAAATAGTCTACAAAAACAGCAAACAAAAATGAATTCTTCGTTGAAAAGGTATTCTTCAAAACTTTTTTCTGCAATCATTTTGAACCACTTTGTTAAATATTTATAAGTAAAATTCAATTTGCTTTAGCTATTTTCCCAGTTGTGAAAAACACAGCAACATCACCACACTTTTTGTAAATAGTCATCATCTCTGGTAGCAGACAATTTTATTCTCTTAACTTGTGCCTCCTCTACTGGTTTAAAAGTAGAACAACATAAAACCAGGTTTTGCATCTGACTGGTCAAATAGCAACTAAGTGTGTTTTTTTTAATTTATGTCTATTTCTGACATTTTATAAAATTTATCAGATTCTGCATCAAGAATCTTGAGAACAAAAAAGTCTGGCAGACATTTTTTTAATCTCAAAATATTATTTTCTCTCCTAAAGATTAAGAGTATATTTCAATGATAGCATATCACATTTGTGTTATAACTGAAATTTTTCTACATAAATAGAAAACATCCATTATTATACTAATATAACAACAGACTTACAATGCTGTGTATCTGTCCATTGCAGATTGCACATCTCTACGGTAAACTGTTCGAAGAATGACCATGACAGGGTCAAACTCCTGATCCCAGACTTCAGCTATTATTCAAAAGAAAGTAGAAACAAAACACTGACTTCAGTCAATCCTTGATGACTAAGTACATTTAAGTATATTTTAAATTCATAAGATGGGATAGTTTGATTTGATTATATATTTGCTTTAATAAGCCTGATATTGTGACTACTATTCTAAGTCAAAAATCATCATTTCATCATTATAAATATTGTCAGCAAGAACTAATGAGCAAAAACTATTATAATGTAAAAAAGATGTTATAATATGATAAAGCTTCACCATAAAAGTTTAGTTCATCTTTTTTTTGTAAAGTGCCAACAGAATGTAAGAAACACAACACATTAACAACCTTGAAAATATTCAGAGATATAAATATGAAAACTAAATTAAAAAACTACTGAGCTATTGATTTTCAAGAGTCTTACTTTGTAATATTTTGGTTTGTAAAAATTGATCATTGATCACCTTACCGTCTTCACAGTTAGGAACCATCACCTTATGTGTGGTATGTGTATAACTGTAGTACACAGATGATTTTAAGTGTACAAAGATTTTCATTTTAATAACTATACAATTATAACATATATTAGGAAATTGTACATTGCATACAAAACCCATAATCTCACTAATAATCATGCTCAGCAGGAGGCAAAGTTTAAAAAAGTGAATCCATTTAGGGATATACAGCAGACTAGGTATATAATAAAAGAGATGATATTTAGATGTGGTAAAAATCTACAACATGGCCTGAGAATAGTAATTTTAGAAACCACTGCCTCAAGAGTATATCTTGCCTAGATTTGTTTTTTCCCATCTCATTCTAGCAAAATTCTTAGCATCTGAAAACATTAAGAAGCTTAAGTTTCTCTCTATACATCTACTGTAATTTCAACTTCCTGGCATAAGAAACTGTTAACAATTGTCCCTATTTTCATGTAACAGACCATTCATTCATCCTAAATTATCTCTCATAAGTATGACTTAAGATCCTTAAGATAGGCCTCCACAAAGACAAAGACCTTTGTTATTATATCTATTATCATTTCTTGTCCTTCACTGTTAAATCTATTAATCTGTACAACTAAAATGCCAATGTTTTTTACCAGAAATTATGAAACAGAAGAAAACTTCAGTGATTAACTAGTCTAGCAGACTTTAGTGTTCTGTGGACTCCCACAGAAGTTTAACTGGGGCCACTTCAGGAGCAAGGAGATAACAAAACAGATGAGAAATAATGTCCACTACCCATACCCACATTAACAAGAGCAGGTCTGCTTTCACTGGTTTTGTGTAACAGATTTACTTAAGGTTTAGTTTCCCAAAACTAAAGGTTTATTTCAACCACTTTTAAAAAGCCTTTAAAACTCTGATGTATTCCAACTCTCTCTTTTTACAAATAAGTCAAATCCAAAGTTAAGAGACTGCTTTTCTCAATATCATACAAACTAACACAATTCAATACTGAATTTGTATATGAAAACTAGTTTCTTAAATCTAATCTTCAAAAGCCCAATGCTCCATCTCAGTGTCTCAAACTTTACTGTGCATGACAATCACCTCATAGAGCTTGTTAAAAATGCAGATTCCCAGAATCTATCCCCAGAGATCCTGATGAGAGCAGATTGGGGCTGAGGCATAGAAACCCGTATTTTTAATAAGGACCACAAGTAAGTATGACAAAGGTAATCCTCACATTACACCTTATTAAGCACTGTACTACTCCACACCAAAAATTCATCTGAACTTTAGATGCAAAGTATTCTCTACAATACAATAATTCTCTGTGCTTTTCCTTTAATGGAATACACACTGCAACCAGAGACTCTGGATTCACCTTTATGATCTCCTGGAAAAAAAATCCCACATGATCAGGTTTATTCTGCTGTGTTTTGCCAAACAGGATGTGCTATTTATAACTTCTATGTGGGCATCAGTTTTCAGTTAGACAAGCGTCTTGAGGAAGTCAAGAAGCATGTAAGTGCCTCCTTCAGAATTTTAACTTAGATTAGTGAACATGTGAAAGTAAGAAAGACAAGACTGTGAATGAAGACTTCACCTACTTCTGGCTCTTGTCAAGCATGTCTCTATGAAGCCAGGGAGAAAACCTTGGAAAACCAACCACTTAAGGAAAAAAAAAAATGTAAGAAAATGTAATCAATATTCTATACAGATTTTAATTTTAAACTGTTTCAAGTTAAATTTGGGGTGCTGAGAACTATTTCAAAATCAAATTTAGAGACCAAATACATTTTTTAAAAATTTTAAGTATATAGTTTTATAATTTCTGGCTCATTTACAGTTGATTCACTTATAAAAATGAACTAGAATTTATATATAAAGCTCCTCTTCTAATTTAGAGTCATCTAAAACAGTTTACTATAACATAAAACCATAGATTTGTAAATAAATAGAAGCAATATCACCATATACCATAAAAACTCAAACCTGAATACATAAAAAGCAAAACATTTTCTTGTACTATACACAACAAATCACATTCAGAAAACTGATTTTGAAAGAAAATGTTCATGCATATAAACATACCTTTAGGAGTATACATGCCTTGCTGCATAGAACCTCCAGGTTCAAAAACAGGAGCCTTAAAATCAGCTACAGCTGAAAGAACTGATTCAAAACTGTAACTGCCTGGAATAATGCCACTTTTGGGATTTGGATTTTCTGGAATATGATGTATGTGTCAAGAAAAAAAAAATGCCTAAATCCAGCTTTTAAGTATAAAATTACCAAGGTACTCTAGTTTCTAACTACTTTTGTTAAAACAGAGTAATTGGCTGTAATATATAGAATTGGCCACAAGAGGGCTATACAGTACAAGAGCGCAATAATAACTTTTTATTAATTGTGAACTTTTAAAATATTTTTAATCTAGAAGCCTACTAATAAATTAAATGCTAAAGTAGTTCCCAAGTTAATTTCCTCCCAAAGAAATTAGCTAAATCTCAGGAAATGAAAAAAAACGTTTTTTAAAATTTATCTCCATTTTCTTCATTTTATAAATGTTATACCTTCCTTTAGAGAATCAAAAACAGTCTGCTAAAAATTAGCCAAGATTTTTATGAGCAGACTATTTTTCCAAAAACGCAAAATGTCATCCTCAAAGAAAAATGAAAACGATTCTAAACAAATTTTTACAAAGAAGAAAACCAGAAAGCCACAAAGATCCTTTTTCCATTGATTTCATATCAATTAATTAATTAATCTTTTAAATTCAAAGTTATGGAAGAGTGCTTTTGCTCAGTTACAGCACTATATACATTATATAACAGTTGAATGAAATTATCAAATATCAAATTGATGCCGCTTATGAAAGTCTTCAAGGTTATCACATAGGCATTCCATAGAAGTTATTTCACAAAATTTTAGCCAATTATTCCAAACGTATTCATAATATGCAAAGTAAACTCAGTCCAAATTTTACAAAATAAATTCTTATCACAAAATAACACAATATTTGTCTAAAATTTTTTAACAATAACTTTTAACAATAAATTTTATTAACAATAACTTAAAAAATAATAAAGTATATACTATATGTTCTGTCCTACCCAAAGAACCATAAGTTTTGTAAGTTTATAGATGATATAATCTTTGCCCTTAAAAACCTCTTGGCTTGGGGCACGTGGGTAGCTCAGTAGGTTAGGTCTGAGCCCATGTCCTGGGATCAAGCCCCCTCATTCGGGATCCCTGCTCTGCGGTGGAGTATGCTGCTCCCCCCCTCCCTCTGCCTGCCTAAGTCCCTGCTTGTGCTCACTCTCTCTCTTTCGGTCAAATAAATAAAATCTTTAGAAAAAAAAGAAAAGAAAAAAAAAAAACCTCTTGGTTTAAGACTAAATTCTAAGGGATGCCTGGGTGGCTCAGGCCATTAAGAGTCTGCCTTCGGCTCAGGGTCCTGGGATCAAGCCCTGCATAGGGCTCCCTATTCACTGAAAAGCCTACTTCTCCCTCTCCTTCTGCCCCTGCCCCAGAGCATGCTCTCTGTGTCCCTCTCTCTCTCTCTCTCAAATAAATAAATAAAATCTTAAAAAAAAAAAAAAAGACTGAATTCTAAGAAAAAAAATCCTTAAAATGTTTAAAACCCTGGTAATAATTATAAAGTATGCCTTTAAATTTAAGCCATGAATTCCAACCTAGGTATACAGTAAAGTAGGCCTAACTGCCTTTTACAAAGTGTCCAGCTTCCTTTCAGGAATGCTGTCCTAGAAGGGCAGACCCTTGGGTACTCAGAGCTATCAGTTCTGAAGTCTAACCAAGGCCAGTAAGAGCTCCCTGAGAGGTAACAACGGCAAAAACATCTGCCACAAGCCCTGAACACACAGTTGAACAAACAACTGAAGTTCTTTTCCACACTATTTTTCAACTCTAAAAATATTTTTTAACCACAAATGTGATATATCTTTAATCTGTACAAATCATTGTTTAGATCCTATATTTAACAAAAAATTAAACTTTTCAAAGGATATAAGGTCCAGCAATGAACTATGTGTCCTGTCATTCATACACAACTGGGCTACCATTTCTGCTCTGAGAATCTCATCATCAGACATCCCTAAAACAATTAAAAAGAGAATTAATAAATCTGAAAATACATAAATTTTAAAGAAACAACTTACCACACTTTTTATTAAGCTGTTTTACTAAAAATGAGAAGCTTCAAAAATTAAAGAGCAAAGACTGCAATGCCCCAAATATAACCAGTTTAAATAACCTACTGTTTGCAGCTCCCTTAAATAAAGGGTTTTTTAAAGGATATTCTAAAAGGAGTAACAACTATACATCATGTCAAGAATTTGAAACAATGTTTAAAAATATCCAAATCCTTTTCTTTTTTCCATAAGCAAGTTACTACCACAGGGAAAGGGGAGGAAAGGGAGGATAGTTAATACCCAAGCATTAGTATGAGTGCTTTTTACCTAAATGTAAACGAAGACTTAAAAGAATCACAAGAAATGTAAGAGCGCCTTCTAACATCGATCTCTCATGCTCTGCATCAAGTACTGTGTTTTGATGTTGTGACGCCATTGTCAACAAATCCACTACCTTAAATCTATAATAAGAAATATTTGAGACAGATTTTTTTTAAGTTAAAACAAAATCAACTTAAATTCCAAATACTTCCTAAAATACCTGTCTTAATAAACTATGCTTACCTTTCAAAGACAGATGAAATAAAATAATCTGGGTCAAGTCTAGAAGCACAAACCTTTAAAAGACAAAAAAAAAAAAAGAAAAGAAAGAAATTTTATTTCTCAATATTGTTTCATTTCTTGTATTAATTATGTTGTTTGTTTGTGTTCTGTATCTTATGTTTTGACATTGGGGGCGGGGTGGCTTGCCGACATGGAAAGAGACCACCTCTCTCCCATCTACCTAAGAATAGTAAATATTCCTAAAGCTATTCCTAAAGACAGTAAACAACTTACCTAGCAGTAAACATCTTACAAGCAAGTCAATCACCCCCTTTATCTAACTCTCACACAGCAAGCCAATATTCCCTCTGCCCTAAACCAACCCAAGACCAAGCACCAAATTAGGAAGGACAGCTCTGATGCCCCAAAGTCCACAGGAATTATTCAAACTAACCAATTTTAAACTTTCCCCTGCCCTGTCTTGTCCTTCCTATGCAAATGCCAAAAAAGGTTCTGCTCTAGGACTGCCCCTTGCCCCTGCTCCTACCACTTGACCAAAATCGAATGCTTCCCCTGAGGCTCTGTGTGGCATCGCATGCCTCCTTCTCTTGGGAAATTTAAGTAATAAATTCTTTCAAGAGCACTGACCTCTTTGTGTCATCACTGAGTCACCTCTCTAAACTAATCCCATATTTGTAAAGTACAATATCTGCATTATCAAATTGGCTTACCTGTAGTAAGTAAATGTCAGGGTCAATCATGGAATTACAGAAATGAGACTGGACATAGGTCATAGCTTGTCCTTTGATTTGTAGACCATTTCTTACCCACATATTGCTATGGATTTCAGCAAGACTTGCCTAGTAAACCAAAAATTAAGTAAATTAAAGAAGTCTTCTAAATTTAATCTTTATGAAAAACATGTTACAGTGAACAATCATTTCAAAATATTTTATAACTGGATCAGAGCATAAGCATGACATCCTGACCCATGTTAATTTAAAATATCCAATTCAAATACATATTTTAAAATTTTTAAGTGCTCATTATGCTTTATACCATCCCTTCTTTTGGAGTTTATACATGAGTTAGTTTTCCATGATTCGGAAACACTTAAAACAATTTTCAATGAAATCTTTCATGAGGAATCAATGACACATTTAACTCCTTCCTTCTCAAGAAAAAAAAAAATTAAGTTATGCTTAAAGAAACACAGGAATAAGTATAAAACAAAGTTGACTGTCCCAAACTAGTCATTTTTCAAATAATTAGCAGGTAACAGAAGGTCAGATTAGAATGTTTCATAACATTAATGTTTAACTCTTCATGTATTTGTGTCCTGCATCAATCAAAACCAAGCACAGTCATAACTTCATCTCTTACTTACTCTTAACCTGCAATGTGAAAGTTCAATGATAATTAAAAAATCTAAAATAGCCAGGAAAAACAAATTAAAGTGCCAGTACATCTACTATACATAAGCAGTTGGCCCACAAAATTATAGTATTAGAACTGAAAGAAACCATAGTGCTTATGCATGAAAATCCTCTTTTCTCTCCTCTCATTTTTCAGATGAGGAAACTAAGAATCAAATTACCCCAAACAACATGGTAATTAAATTGATGTAGTACTAATGCTAGAAATCTGTTGGGTCTCCTGACTCTCAAAACAGTGCTGTAGTATGTTAAAAACTTCCCTATGAGGGTCATCAAGGGAAGGGAGGGAAAAATGAAACAAGATGGGACCCAGGAGGGAAACAAACCATAAGAGACTTTTAATCTCAGGAAACAAACTGAGGGTTGCTGGGGGTGGGGACAGGGTGGTTGGGTTATGGACAGTGGGGAGGGTATGTGCTATAGTGAGTGCTGTGAAATGTGTAAGACTGATGATTCACAGCCCTGTACCCCTGGGACAAATAATGCATTATATGTTAATAAAAAAAATTAAAAAGAAAGAAAGAAACTTCCCTATGAGTAAATACAGTGAAAAGAATTCCTGGGGAAATTTTAACTAAATATAAGTTTCATAGAACAAAAAAAAAAGACCAAACTATAATCTAGCAAAATTACCTAAGTTTAAAAAAAATTTTTTTCAAACATTTTGGCTATAAGAACAATGTAAATTTAAGGCATAAAATTCAAATAAAGAACGAACCACATAACCAAGAAACTCAATTAAAATAAAAGCCTGAATACATACTTGAATTTGGAGTGGGTGAATCATTAGTTTCATTAACATTTCCTGATCAGGTAAAACAGAATCCAAATCTAGTTCTTGACATTTCACAGCCTAAAAATTATGAAAAAAAAGTTACTAATTCAATACTTAATTTCCAATATTTAAAAAAAAAATTGCTGGACGATAATCTTACCTTACTCAAAAACATAGCATAGTAACGATGAAGGGGAAGATGAAAAGTGACTTGGTTAGGTGCTGGCTGGAATACACAAACAAAATCCACAAGTCAAAGAAGGTTTCAGAATGCTAAATTCAAAGAAGGTTTCAGAATGCTAAAACCACACTTTGACCTTGATTTATTCCTATGCCTTTTTAACAAAACTTGAACTTTTAGATGATATAGCTTTAAAAAACCACTGCATAGAACAAGGGATGGAATATATTTCCCTTTACAGTAGCCTATTTGGGAATCTTCAAATGCACGTACACCAAACATGACGGTAGTAACCAGAACAATAATCACAGCTGACCTTACTCACATTACCTCATTTAATCCTGAGAAGAACCCTATGGAGTATAAACTATTAATGTTCTCATTTTATAAGTAGGGAAATTCAAGCTTGGAAACTTAAGACTGAAGAGCCCGTCTGGACTCCACTGTTGTACTCAGACGGTAGGGGAAGGGGAAGGCCTTGCCTATGTTCACAAGCTGGATAAGTTGCTCCCCACACTGGCACTGAACACACATCCTCCTTGAGAAAGCTTAGTACCGTATGTATCAAGGAACTCTGACATTCTTGTAAATATTATAAAAATTGTATTTTAAGTCTACAAATCCCATGGATCATTCTATCACTATAGAACAAAGCTATATAACAACTGTCCTTCTTAAACAAATAAGAAAAATTAAAAATGAAAAAGGTATTGTTTATTTTTAAATGCTTTTGCAAATATTTTCTGGATAAAATTAAAAAAAAAAAACCTTATCCAGAACATTCAATTATGCTGATGTAATATTGGTATAAAGTTACTAAAAAGTTACAAAGAGTTGCAATATGTCACCATCCCTTAGTTTTCTTTTTTTTTTCAAAACAAATATAATTAACGTCCCCCTCAACGTGTGAATAAAGAGCTATAGAAATTTGTTCTAATAAATAAAAGTTTGCCTTCCATAAAAAGGAGGGAATTTCTGATAAATGCAACAACATGTAAGAAACTTAAGGACATTATGCTAAGTGAAATGTCAGTCACAAAAAGACCTACTGTATGATTCCACTTATATGAAGTACATAGAATAGTCAAAATCATATACAGAAAACATGATAATTGTCAGGGGCTGGAAGGGAAAGGAAAATGAGGAGTTACAGTTTTGAAACATGAAAAATTCTGGAGATTGGCTGCAGAACAATGTGAATATACTTAACACTACTTACACTTAAAAATACACTTAAAAATGCCTGATGGTAAATTTTATGTTATGCTTATTTTACAACTAAAAATAAGTTTGCTCCCACATTACTATAATCACCTGAGTAACATATTCTATACTAACTAGCTAAATCAGAATCTCCCTCAATTTCCTCTGAAGGTATTAAGGACAGTGGTTAATAAAAGCTAGATTTGCATGAGTTCAAACCCTGACTCTGCCACCTCCAGCTATAAGCTGTGAGCAAGTAACTTAAACTCGCCACGCGAAAATGACTGGCCTGTAGAACAGAAATAATAAGCAGCAAGACAAATGTGAGGATTATCTTTAACATAGTACCCAACACATAGTACTATTACCTACAAAGTCATGGACCTTGTCTTGTCTTTCAAGGCTTTAGTATTTCTGAAGTTCATACTCTTCTGTAGCATTATATTCCATAATCCCTTCTTTTTTAATATGACAGATTAGTCACTTGCTAAACTCTTCTTCCACTGCTTCCATATAAAATGGTGGTCGTCAGATATCATTCTCAGCTTTCTACTCCTCTCCTTCTAGGTGACTTTATCCAGATTCACAGCTTGGACTGCCAACTCGACCAAGATGACTCCCAAATCTCAGCAGAAGTCTCGCTCCTAAATTCCAAACCTTACATTTCAGTGTCTACTGAACATCATCACTTAATAGTCTATGCAAACCACAAATACTTCGGGTCCAAACTAAACTCAGCTTCTTTGTCCTAAAACGCAATCCTCCTCAATGTTTCTTCCCAGTTCCCTAGTAATTCAAATCTGAAATGTAGATTCTTTCCCTCTCACAAGTCTCCAACATCTGATGAGGCACCAAATCATGTTTATTTGCTTTTCCAAATATCTCTTAATCTACTTCCTTCCCTGTTCCCACACTGCCCCTAACCTTAGCTCAGCCCTCAACATTTAGTGCCTAGATTTCAGTGACACCTCCTGCTTTCTATTCTTACTCTCCATGACACACCTTTGTGCTATCTGCCAAGCCCACAACTCTCCCCATCTTTTCCGAACATCTCTCCCTACTCCATCTCCCAAACACACAGACAGAATGGAGCCTGACAGTCAAGTTTATAATAGTCATATCTAATTGGAATTGGGGCAGAAGATATCTCACACAACCTGAACAATAAGAAATGTTTTTCTCTTAAAAACTTCACGTTGGGGGGCATCTGGGTAGCTCAGTTCATTAAGCAACCGACTCTTGATTTCGGCCCAGGTCATGATCTCAGGGTTGTGAGACCGAGCCCCGTGTCAGGCTCCTGCTTAGTAGGGAGTCCGCTTGAGGATTCTCTCTCCCTCCTGCTCTTCCTCTGCCTCTCCCCCAGCTCATGTGCTCACTCGCTCTTTCTCTCTCAAATAAATAAATCTTTTAAATTTTTATTAAAAAAAAAAAAGTGGATGTTGGATTCAGAGACATCCTCAGAATCTTGAAGTATGTTTGAAATTGTAACATTAAGCAACTTCAGGAAGGTAACATTTCATCACATAGGCAAAGAAGCACAGAAAGCCAATATACAGAGGGGGGAAAAAAATAAGGCAAATAGGGCAAAGAAAGGCCAAAGACAGGAGCTCCTGTTCAGCTTTCTACTCAGTTCCTCAGAAACTGAGACTGCCCTAAGATCCCTCAGATACCCACTTTGTACTCACAAGAAATTAGGCCTCCCCTAAATTAAGCTGCCTCAAGAATGTTTTTTCCTTGCATTCAAAAATACCTTAAGCTATTTAAACCTCCATATGTTCTAGGAGGTGATCTTCCCAAAACATTAATTAAATCTTATACCTCCTCCATTCACAATCTTTTAATGGTTCCCTATAGTTCTAACCCCCTGATAACCTTCTAACCCTTGAGAAGACAACTTACCTCTCCAGCCTCATCTCCTGTCACATAAACTCATGCACCACAGGTAGTATCCCTAACTTACCAACCTTTTGTGCCTCTATGCTGTTCTCTCTGCCTCAAATACTACACATCCCTTCTCCCAATGGATTAACATATCCTTAAGACTTGGCTCAAATGACATTTCCTCTAGGAAACATTTCCTAAATCCCTCAAGCTAAATTAGATACTACACTCTATTCTCCCCCATAGTACCTGGTCACAACTTTACAGGAGCACTGGAATCATGTTAACCATTTACCTGTCTCCCATTTCCTTAAATTAGGGACTGTTTCAGCACCTATCTCCAGTGTTTTTTAAACAGCAAACATTCAATATATTCTACTTCAATAAGTACCTAACATTAAATAAGTATTCTACTTCTCTCTTATCAAAGAACTCCAATCAAACTACCCTGCCACATATTCATAATCATTGCCCTACAAGATATTCATGTATTTGAGGATTCTTAAATGGCCTGCCTTACTGGGAAATTTATTCTATCCCTTGTTTCTAAATCACTGTTTGATTTGTGTTAATTCAGTTCAAAAGATTTATTTAATCTGTGCTAGACTACCCCAATAACTTCTGATATTCACTCACAAGGATGGTAAAAGAAATATTTATCACAAATGTAACAAGCCTCATAGTCAATCCTCATTAGCTAATAATATATCTTCAAATAAACGATGAGATGGATTCAGCAATGCTAAAAAAAGTTAAAAATAAAATAACTTTTGGAAACCTGTTTAAAGGGCACCTGGGTGGCTTAGTCAGTTACATGTCCAACTCTAGGTTTAGGCTGGGGTCATGATCTCCAGGTCACAGGATTGGGCCCCAGGTTGGGCTCCACACTCAGCAGGGAGTCTGCTTGGGTTTCTCTCTCTCCCTCCCCCTCACTCTCCCTCCCCCCGCTACTCATGTGTGTGCACACACTCTCTCTCTCAAATAAATAAATAAAAATAAAATCTTAAGAAAGAAAAACTAAGATCATATAGCTAGTTGGTTTGTGGCAGAGCCACAATTTATACTTGGGTCTGCTTGACTTTATAGCTCTTTCCACTGAAAATAGCCAACAGCACTGAAATACTACCAGACAAGGGGCACCTGGGTGGCTCAGTTGGTTGAGCGTCTAACTCTTGATTTCAGCTCAGGTTGTGATCTCAGGGTCCACAGACTGAGCCCTGCATAGGACTCTGCACTCAGTGGGGAGTCTGCTTATTCCTCTCCCTCTGCTCTTCCCCACCCCCTGTTCTCTCCTTCTCTCTCCCTCTTTTTCTCAAATAAATAAAATCTTAAAAAAAAAAAAAAAGAACAAAGAAAAAGAAATACTACCAGACAAGGAATTAAGAGATGTGGGCTCTAGACTCAGAACTACCAGTAATTTGCTATGCAACTATAGGCAAGTCATTTAATATCTTTGCATCTCCATTGTACATCTACAAAAAGGCAGGGGGGAGAGGGGATAATACCTTCTCTACTTCAAAGGGTTGTTTTGAGGAACAAATATGCCAAAGCACTTTAAGTAACAAAAAACTTTGAAAATACCTTAAAAAACAAACCATACTGTGTAATTCCTTAAGTTCTATGCTTATTTTCTCTTCTATTAAAAATCTCTTTAAATTATTTCCAATATTCAATAAATTCCTAAAATATTTCTATGTGAAAAATAAATCTACTATTTCCTTGAGTTCAGCTGCTCTATATACCATACATGATTCTAACTGTCCTTAACTCCACCCCTGAGCTCAACAATTAATTTCATGTGTGTAACCCTCTGTGTAATGGTGCTTTCCCCTTCCTCAAAGCATTGTTTTAGTGATGCTACCATTTCAACAATACCTCCTAAGTTTCCAATACAAATGAGAGCTGGAATGAGAGAAGTTCCAGTTGAGTGACTAATCCTAGAAAGGGCAAAGGAGTAAAACAGGTTGAAAGTATGGAGGCATAATCTGAATCTAATCATGGGACACACCCAGACTGAGGGGTGTTCTATAGCATAACTGAGCTAGCTGTACTCTTCAAAATAAGAAACTGTCCCAGAAGGAGACTGGAGACATGATGACTAAATGGAACATGGGATTCCGACTAGGATGATTTTGATATAAAGGACAACAATGTACAATTTATAAAACATGAAGGAATTCTAAGGATTGGACAGTAATTATATATTAATGTTAACTTCCTAATTTTTATAATTGTATCTGGTTGTATAAGACAAAGCCCTTGCTTGTAGGAAGTACACACTGAAGTATTTGAGAGTAATGGGCATCAAGTCAAATGGTTCAAGAAAACAAAGTTCTTTGTACTTCACTTCCAAATTTTCAATAAGTTTGTGATTGTATCCAAAAAAATTTTTAAAGAAAGGTGAAGAAAAAGAAAAAAATTCCCCACCCACAAAAAAAAAAAGAGAGAGAGAGACAGACAGACAGCAGGAGTTCCATCTGCCCAGGATTCAGAAATGAGATGGGGGAGTTGGAGTGGTCTGAAACACGGCCCTCCTTATGCATATGGCATACTGTGAACCCACTTTATAAAAGGAACAAAAGGGGCTTCTGAGAGAAAACTTGGGCTATTTACAAGCAAGCCCTTGTTTAATTCATACAGAGTATGTTCTGTGCCAACTCTTCTCGGCTCATTATTAATAACAATCACCTTTGTTCAAGCCCACAGAACACTGACCAATTAATGAAGATGTAACACCCTTTCCATTAAACTCTCCTATCCTATCCACATTTGCACTGTCACTTTAAACCCCTCTAAATGAAACTAATCTTTACTCCTGAGAAATATGGAGACATATACCCTTCATAACAGATAAAGGAATTATAAGCAAGTATGATTAGTACACTTCAGAATCTCATAAATGTCAAAGAACTGATCTTCCACCTCTCCTTTTTTAAACTTAATGGTAATATCCTCATCCGAACTTCTTTGCCTTATCCCATGAAAAGATATTCATTATTTTCAGTTAAATGAGATATAACACTTTTCTTAAGTGCCCTTATATATGTCAAAAATATACATACCTCATCTACAAAGTTAATAGCATCAAACCAGTCTTGAAGAGCTTCAAGGCAGTATCTAACAACATTTCGAGTATACTCTTGAGTTTCCTAAAATAATAAGTTATACAAATTTTACATTATATAAATATGTATATTTTCAACTTCAAATTATATGTAATACATGAAAATTATATATAATGGTAACATAATATATATAAAATCAAAAGACCACATTTGCCATTTTAAGAAATCGTTTCACAAACTAATAGTAACAACCAGAGACAATTAGGAAAATTGAAAAACACAGCATGTTATGTTTTATATAATTTATTCTTGGAAACGGATCAAAGCTGAAATAGTTTTATGTGATGCATATCAAGCTCTATTCGAAGAGATTTCAAAAATATTATAAGTTTCTTAATATTAACTGTTTAATGAGTACAGCATCTTTGGGGATGATGAAAACGTCTTAGAGATGAATGGTGGTGATGGTTGCACAACACAGAGAATGTACTTAATGTCAATGAACTGTACATCTAAAAATGATGAAACTGTGCATTTTACATATTTGCCACAATAAAAAAAAAACAAACCAACAAAGGAGCAGAGAACTTTAAGTACTATGAGCAGCCTGTGAATATCTTAGCTTACTAAAAAGAAAAGTGTGTGCCACTCAAAGGTACTATGAAAGAAAATTAGATATTTTATGAGGAAATTGAGCCACTGAAATTGGAAACTATTAAGTTAAATGGCAAAATAAATCATGATAGCCTCTCTTTAAAAAAAAAATAATAATGGGCAAAGGATCTGAATAGACATTTCTCCAAAGAAGATCTACAAACGGCTAATAAGCACATGAAGAGATGTTCAACATGATCAGTCATTAGGAAAGTGCAAATCAAAGCCACAATAAGCTATTACTTCACATCTATTAGGAAGGCTCTATTTTTTTAAAATGCAAAATAAAAAGTGTTGACAAGATGTGGAGAAACTGGAACCCTCACACATTGCCAGAGGAAATATAAAATGGTACAGCCACTGTGAAGTTAAACACAGAGTTACCATATGACCAAACAAGTCTACTCTCATATACCCAAGAGAATTAAAAATATTTGTTCACACAAAAACTTACATGCTAATGTTCACAGCAGCATTATCCACAGTAACTAAAAAATGGCATTAACCCATGAATGGACAAGTAGAATGTGGTACATCTATGCAATGGATTACTATTCAGCTTTAAAAAGAAATGACACACATCATAACATAGTTGAACCATGAAAACATTATGCTAAGTGAAAGAAGAAAATGGCTATATAATGTATGATTCCACTTATATGAAATGTCTAGATTAGGCAAATTCATAGACACAGCCGGGAGAAAGCAGTTTCCAGGGAATAAGAGCAGACTGGGACTGGGAAGTATAAGGTTTCTTTAGGAGATGGGTGATTGATTAGTGGGGAATTTGTGGTACCAGCTGTACAGCTTTGTGAATATACCATATGACTGAACTAATACTTTAAGATGGTTAAAATATAGAATTTTAGGTTGTATAAATTTGAAATCTATAAAAAAAAGTTTTTAAAAGAAGACACTTTTGGCCTTGATGTATAATAAAAGTGCAGGTCACATCAAAGTCAAGTAGGTTAAAATCTTTATATATATAATTATTCTGTGCTTTAAAGAAAGCTAAGTTTCCCATTGCTGCCTTCTCCTTCATCCTGTTCAGTCTCCTGTCTTGTTCATTATTCTATCATATATATTATCATGCAGGTCCATCTTATGTCCACTACCATCCAGACCAAATATCACTTATCTAGTTTCCTTGCCAAGAGTCTCACCCTGTTTTAATCTATACTATATGAAATTTATCTTTAAAAAATATTATTTTATACATTATGTTTCCTAATTTCTTACTGAAAAAAATTTAATGGCACTTTTAAGTTACCATAAATAATGTGTCATAACCAAACTAAAGTGGCAGATAAGTCACAGGTAAAGAAACATTTAAAACCAAATGTTCTCTTGTCTTATCAAGAGTTTGGGCAAAGGGTAACATAATACCCTTTTGGTACAAATACAAACTGATATGACCCTCCTGTAGAAAAATTTGAAAAGCATGTATCAAGAGCCTTTAAAAAGGTGACCAGTTAATTCCATTCCTAAATATAGTATATTTAATAATCATGTCCAGATCATCTCTCTCCCATCTCCCACCACTAACACACCCATCCAAAAAAATGCAGTGTGCACATTACTAGTTTTATAACCTTTTCAGTCTGTTATACATATGTAAAAATGGACATAAATGGACATAATACTATCTACCTCCTCGTACTGTGAAGGAAGCAAATTAAATAATGTTTGTAAAATGCTCCGTGTCATAGTCTAGCACTATGTGTGACCAGCAGTTACGTGCTCCAAAGGGTCAGGGCCACAGTTACCTAAAGCTGCCACTAGATGGAGATTTTACAGCTTATTTGTTTTGTTAGGAAAGCAAAAATTCGTAGGATTCTGGAAATGTCCATCCCTTTATCCAATCTGTTATCAATATAGTATTAGTTGTTTAACTAGCTCTTTAACATTTTCAAGAACCAAACAGCATTTAGGGCAATCATACAAAGAAAGTAAGCTACCAGGTGAAGTTCTTTTTATTGTTAATCCTTTAGTTTTATATCTTTTAATTAGAGAATAGAAACAACAAAATAGCTGTTTTACTTTAATAGTCTTTCTTCTAGCTTACATTTCTAAAACCCAACAACAGTATTGCTAAAAAGCTCTAGACAATCTTGCTTTTAACAGACAATTACAGCAAAGTGGGAAAGAGCTGAAATCAGATGGATTTGTTTTCAAACTCAGCTTCTACTTAACAGCTGTGTGAACGTGGGCAAGTTATTTAACTTCTGCAGGAAAGAGATGATACTATCCACTTTATAAGAGATACAATGAAGACTAGATTAAGAATATAATACAAAGAATACAGTGTGAAGAACAATGTCTGGCAGAATGTGGGGGCTCATCAAGAGAATGTCGTAATTAGGAACTAAATACTCCCTTAACTGAGAAACTGCTCTCTCAGATTCTCTTAAATGGGGTTGCTTTCCGAATTCTCTTCACTTCTTAGGTTAAGGGAACCATAACACACTGCAATCCTGGCCTTCAAAGCTAAAAATTAAACTACTGCCCAGAAACAATGGGCTCATTATCAGAGATAAACATAAACCCAACTTCATAATCCAAATTCATCTTAAACACAACTGTCAGAATAATCCTCCTAAAATACTGATCTTTTCATATTAACATCATATCAACCTCCCTGATCCATCACTGTCTTTTGTTGGCTTATAGGATACTGTGCTCCTCTAGGTTTTCGCCGCACCCTTATCTCTGATGTTGCAGTGTTAGTTCTTTCTTCAGGGTTCACTTCTCTCCCTACTTGATCTCATCCCACACCCCTGGTGATAAATACCATTTATGTTACCAAGGGTCTAAAATTTATAACCTTAGTCCTGACTTCTCTTTTGAGCACAAGACAAATCAGCCCCCACACTCATTACTCTCAGAGCAAACTGTTATTCTCCTATAGAGCACTTACAAAATGAATCTGTGTGTTTACCTACATAACATCTATCTCCCCCATTAGACTGCCCCATGAAAATAAGAACCATGTCTATCTGGCTTAAGACCAAAACCTAAGCATCTACATAATGTCTAGATAGTGTCTGGCACTGAAGAACAGCATTGAACAAAACTTTTTTTTAGTGAATGAACAAATGAACCTCATATTATATAACAGGGTTTTGTTTTGTTTTGTTTTGTTTTGTTTTGTTTTTATAAATGCTACAGTGGAAATTAAACAAAGTACTGTGAAAGCACATGAAGCATCATAAACCTGACTGAAAGAATTTAATGAGCAGATTACATATCAGCTGAATAGCATTTTTATAGAGCTAACACTAGTGGTTTTTACTCTGGTTAGAATCACTGCCAAGGTCCTTCTGCACTCAAATAAATCAAAATCTCTGAAAATGGGGGTTAGGCACATGTATTCTTAAAGCTTCCTGGAACACTGAAAAAAATTAAAAAATTAAAAATTAAAAAATTTAATTAAACTAAAAAAAGGCTTCCAAAATGATTCTCAAGTAAGAATAAGCAGAAAGAATGAGAGACCATAAGCCAAAAAGGGATTAGTTTGAACAAATGCACAGGTACCAAGAGAGGGATACCACATGTTGAAAAATGGTATTCAATCCAGTGACGACATGCAGAAAGACAGAGGGGTATAAATGGAAGATGAATTATAAGAGACAAGTTAAGGGGCGCCTGGGTGGTTTAGTGGGTTAAAGCCTCTGTCTTCTGCTCAGGTCATGATCCCAGGGTCCTGGGATCAAGCTCTACATCGAACCCCACATGGAGCTCTCTGCTCAACAGGGAGCCTGCTTCCCTTCCTCTCTCTCTGCCTGCCTCTCTGCCTACTTGTGATCTCTGTCAAATAAATAAATAAAATCTTAAAAAAAAAAAAAGAGAGAGAGAGAGAGAGAGACAAGTTAAGGGCAAATGATGGAGGATCTTAAATGTCTCTATAGGAAACACAGATGTTACCCTGTAGACTGATAAGAATTTTAATGATTCTTTAAGCAAAGGAGAAAGATGCACAGAGCTTAGAAAGGTAATTTCAGTACTGGGATAGATCAGAGTAGGAAGAATTTAGAGGCAGGAAAACCAGTTAAATTATCTTAACAACCCAGATTTTAAAAATATAAGGAAATAAAAGACAGGAAAGAAGTGGTAGGGAGGATTTCTGGAGCAGCAGAGAAATTTCATGGTATCTAATAACAGGTTGAATAAAACTGGCACAGCAAGGACAGAAAGTTTCTATATTAGATAACTATATTTTCAGACACCATTAAATGACATAAAGCATATAGTATGGGCCAATGAATTTAATAAGTTAGTTAGTGGCTTGAGAAAATCCATCTACCTATTATGAGATCTACATGAATAACCAGAGCTGCTGGAAATCTGAACCCGGCTAGACTAACAAAGTTGTAAGTCACATGCATTTGGAGAAGAGCTGAAGTCATGAGAGAAAATATAAATCTGATTAAAGGGATTCATATATTTAAAGAACATATGGAGGAGGGCCTCATAATAACCCTGTGAAGGGCAGGCTTCAATGCCCTGTTTCCGTTTTCTTTTGTTTTGCTTTCTCAAAAAAAAGGAGAAAGAAGGAGACTGTCAAATAGTTTTAAGTGAGTTGACCAAGCAACATAAATAGAAAAAGGCAGACCCAAGATAAGGATCCAAGACTTCAAAACATTTCCACTATAAAATCTGGTCCAGCATGCTTATGGATACACGCTGCCAGTTGGTCTTCATGGGATCCATAGAGCAAAAGCTCAGTCAAGTTCTTAGTTTAGTAAGGTCAGGAAATTCCATTTTTCTGGATCATCCAAGGACTCTGGAGATCCATTAAACCACTACTTTAAAAATGCAGAAGTAAAATAAATATTTGTATACAAAGACACAAGTATATCCAATTACAAATGATCATTTTCTTATCCAATTACAAGAATTAATGTTGCTGCTATGCTACTCTTAAGATTCCTTTGGTAGACAACTGGAAGTTGTATGAAATGAGTACTAATTTTGTGCTTAGAATCTTAAAAATGTAAACGTTATTAAGAACTATTCTCACCCCTTAAAGACAAGAAGCAACAGATAACTAACTGATAATGGATAAAATGAAGCAATAAAGATAAACGTGGAGACTTCTAAAGCTCCAAAGACTATTCACAGTAAGGAAAGCCTGCAAGGATCTGACAATATAATGAACTCCAACTTGCCAAAGAATAGTAATTAATGTCTCAGGTCAGTGTTCACAGAGCTGAATTCACAATTAAACATTGCCCATTAATATATATGAGTAAACAAATCAATGTTTTCACAAATCTTTTTCTTAAATCGCTCTTTTAAAGGTAAAGACAGAAATTAACAAAAATATTTTCAACATACCCTAACTTTACAATGGGATAAGAGCCCCCACATTGGCTGTGCACAGGCCTCAAGTTCAGCAGCAAAGGCAGCATAGTAGGTCTGAGACTCAAATTCCACATGCTCATTTAGTTCTCGCTTGTTTAAGTTCATACCTTGCAAAAATTAAAGCAGATATAAACCTTGCCAAATAGAAGCAAGTATTCATATTAAAAATCAAGTAAAATACTTCCTAGTACCAAACACTCAGTGCACACAAATGGCATAAATGACACAATATGTAGAGAAATAAATAAATAATTTGAAGTAAAATAGTCCTTTTAGAAGTTTTTACAAACTAGGTTTTCTTAGAAACACTTTGTGAATTGTCTCTTACATAACATAATTGAGTATGTTAAATAAGAAAGTCAAAACTATTTTAATTGACACTATTTGAAATTTTATGAAAGTGTTATAAATCTTTCTTGAAGAATAAATTAGAAATTTCTAGATTAATGATTTAAAGTGTAGGATTTACAACTCGTTTCCTTTTTAATAATTTGGTATTTTTCATAACTCTGATATATTTTCATGAACAATTGATTAAAGTACTTACAAATATTAATTAAAATGAGATAATTCACATGTAACCTGAATAATGTGCTTTTATCTTTTAATCAGTATATTAGATCGTCTTGCATTAGGCATTTTGTAAACTAAAAAAATTAACAAAAAAGTAAAATTCATACCTTGAAAGAAAGATACAAAGTTCATCCATGTAACTAACAAACCATGGTCCTCCAAAAATCTCTTAGCCACACTTTGATGAGAAAGGATATTAATAAAATCACTGACAAGAGGCCAATAAGTGTTATTCTTCAGTAATGCTTCTCCACAGTTCACTACCACATGTAAACTATTTTCTTCATCTAAAACAGACATACACAGCCCAGTAATAAATAAGTTTTAAAAAAACAAAAACTTTACCAACAATACACATTATATACATTAGAATCAGGGATATCTCAATTCAAACTCCAGCCAGACATATGGTGTGTTACTTAGACTCTGAATCAATTTCCCCATCTATAAAATGAGGGAAAGACACATATCTTAAGGAAATTAAATGAAACATTAACATAACACTAAGCACATCATTAAAATAATTATGACCACATATCTAACATATTACATGATACTGAGCTAGCTATATATTCATAAAACCTTATTATTTTCCTAATTTTAACAATATAATGCAGTATCTTTAGTTCTAATCAATAAAATATTTTATCCCTAGATTAATCTCATTCCATCTTACCAAACAAATCTATATGTGATGTATAATTGCTTTCTTCTACTCAAAAAATATGTAAATGTAACTTTTTAGCAAGTACAGTATTCCAAAAATGAAAGATACACATATAAATAAACTTAAGCCTTTAAAAAAAATCCTCAAAGTTTAATTACATTATTGTGGGTGGGGAAAGATTAGGTATGTACAAATCTTTACTATTAGAAGCTACAGCATATATGCATTAGCTCTCTTAATCTAGTCCAAATTAACTAATTCACTGGACAAATGAGCCCCCATTCCTAATGTAAAACATATTAATACCCATAATATACAGAATGCACAAAGCTAGTAACCTGCTCCCTAGTACATAAGCCAAGATATATGCTTATCCAGAGTCCATTTTTGTTTCTGTTCATGCTAACTGTTCTTCTCATTATAAATTTTAAATTAAAAGTACATAAACTGATGAAATATAAAGACAGGTATGACAAAAACTGGATCATAAGCTTTTGAGAGACAATAAAAGTGTCTAAGAAAATGCTAAAAAATCTTAGAGAAAAATCATAAAAACCTAGAATTTTTGCACTCAGATTGCTTTATACAGATTTTTTGTTTTAACTCCAAAGAAACTGAAACTGGAAATCACAGATGATGCCTTACAGAAGTGATAAGGGAGAACTCCAGACACGGAAACCAAGACTTAAAAATGCTTTGCCCAAAATTAACAGATTAGAGAATGAACAAGCACCTCTGTATTTTAAGTTAAAATGCACTGTTTAATACATGTATAATTTTTTTAATGATAACTCACTTTAACCAACTTTTTCAACTAACCATCTACTGGTGAAACTCATCAGTGGGGGCACTGGGTGGCTCAGTGGGTTAAGCATTGGCCTTCGTCTCAGGCCCTGATCTCAGGGCTTTGCCCTGGGATGGAGCCCCCGCTCAGTGGGGTGTCTGCTTCTCCCTCTCCTTTCACCCCTACGCCCCACTGGTGTGGACTCTCTCTCTTGAGCACAAGAGCTCACTCTCTCACAAACAGTATCTTTTTTAGAAGTTTAAAATATTTTTAAAAATAAAAATAAACTCATCAGTGAAGAGGTCTCTACTGTACTTATTTTCCATACATTAAATTTAGGTTTCAGTCCATGAAATTATTTTACCTAACTCTTAAATTTAATAGTATGTAAGAACAGGATCCACAAAGTTAAGTATGCACTCTTTTAGTGCCTCTCAATAGGAGAGAGAGTGTAACTGAATGAAGAAGTGGAGTTTCTACAAACCACGTACACCTGAGTTAGAAAGCCATCTCTGACTAACAACTGCTGCCACCATGAGTTGGTGGGCAGTTGATGTTAATGGGACAGTGCTCACTGATGATGGAATTTGAAATTTTTTAAACACTGAAAATCACTGTTCTATTTAATTGAAACCAGAAGATGAATAAGCAGGATAAAATAAATCAAAATGACTATTTTCCTGGCACTTCTGTAAATACTACTGTTCTTATGAAAAACACCTTGGACCTTTTGGTAAAATAAAGTGACTAGGACTTCTATTTTTCCCCAACTGAGATTCACTCATCAACAAATATTTATTCAGCACTTACTGAGGGCCAGGTATTCTTTTAAGTTCTGAGACTAAAGTGGTAAATAAGTCAAAACTTATATAGTCTCTCCACTGAGATTAATGTAAGACAGTGTGATACGGCTATCATAGGCAAAGTACAAGAAGTCATAAGAATAAATATAGCTAGTCTACAATTCAGGAAAAGACTCTAACTTAGGAAGTGATGTCTAAACTAAGATCTACAGAATGAAGGAGGAATTAGGATCAGCCAAATAAACGAGGGATGGGAGAGGAAATGGTGTTGTAGGTAGAGGAAGCAATATAAAAAAAGGATGCAATCTTTGGGACAAAGAATGCAGGGGATAGGTGGCACAAATGAAGCCAGAGGGCCTTAAAAATCAGCTCTAGGAGTTTGGAATTCATGTGAAGAGGATGGCAAGCCACTGGGGGGTAGGGTTGAAAGACAGGGACATGATCAGAAGTGTAGTGTGGAAAGTGACCAAAGGAAGGTGATGATGGCTAGTGGTATGAGGCCTAGAGATGTCAATGGCTTGAACTATGGTGGTGGCATGAAGATGTAAAGATGAAAAGAACAGCTATTTAAAGATGTTTAGAAGGTTCAGATGCAGACTTGATGATGTTTATTAAATCTACAAGGAGCACGAAGAAGTCAAAAAAGACCCCCAGGTTTTTAAGTTGGGCAGCTGCATAGGTGGTTGACAGTGGTACCAAAACACACACTTGTGTACTCATATATGCATACATATATACACACTCACACACACACAATAATAGAAAAGAAGCAAGCTTGATGGAGCGATAAGAAGGAATTTTTGGTGTGGACATTGTGTGTTTGAAGTACTTGCAGACATTCAAAGAATACAGCTCAATAAACAGTTTAATATGCAGGACAGAACAATCTGGAATTAGTACATCTATAGACATTCCTATGGCTATGCAACATATGGCTCTGGGGATTTGGGGGTGGGTTTGGGTTTTTTTTTGTTTTTTTTTTTTTTAGTCTTTTTTGTGCGAGAGAGAGTGTGCAAGAGCGTGGGGGAGAGGGGCAGAGGGAGAGAGAAAGAGAACCTTAAGCAGGTTCCATACCCAGTGCAGAACCCACCATGGGGCTCGATCTCATGACCCTGAGATCACGACCTGAGCTGAAATCAAGAGTTGGATGCTTAACCAACTGAGCCACCCAGGCATCCCTGCAACATATGGTTTTAAGTTTCCATTTTATACAGCTTGTATCGTAAGACAAATTGTAAAATTTCAGCAATATGAATAGCTATATTTAGAATCACAAAGTAATACGGTACAGAAGAAAATATAACAAAGTAAAAGTGTAAGGTAGTGATCGCTTACTACTAGAGGTTTTTTCCTTTTAATCTTTAGCTATTGCTGTGCCCATGTGAATTCTCATTGTATCAGCTCCTATGTTTACTAATAGTATAGACAAAATTTTCAAATACTGTTTAATGAAAATTTCTGCAAAAGCTAGATAGATTTACTAAAAAAACAAAGTATAGAGATCCTACTGTAATATCTGTAGCTAGTTATAGGTAGTTCAAAATATTTAAAGCCTATTCTAATACTCTTGATGTAAAAACAGGAAAGTTTATGGTGCTTTTAGAAAGCCAGTAAATATGTATCATGAAACATAATGCTACTTTTAAAAGAGGACTAAAACACCATGGGAGCTAAAAAACCATTTTAGACCTTGGCTTAGAAATAATGTAATTTACTGCTAGAAGAAATACATTTATACTTAAAGATCTTAGCAATGCTACCACCAGCTACTTAGCTTCCAGAAAATTCAATTTGTGTAAGAATTTTCAGAATAGACTAACTGCATTAGAAGGCAAGTACATACAGAAGGCAAAAATAAGACTTTGCAGTATGATTTTAGAAAATATGGGAAAAGTGAGAAGAGCAAAAATACCAGGACAAAGTGCCAAAAAACACCAACATCAACAGGAGAAGCAGAAAAGAGCTTTGGGCCACAGAAAGAACAGACAATCAACAGTGTGAAACGCTGCTGAAAATCAGTAAAGATAAGGTCTGAAGAGTGGACACAGGTTTCCCCATCATGTATGTCATGAAAAGGGTGATCCCATAATTTACTGTATAAAATGGGACACTTTTGAGAGTAAAGGAGATTGTATGAATAACTATGTCAGAACAATAGCATTACCTGGAGCCATTCAGGGAAAAATAGAACATGTGACCAGTGGAGTCACAAACAATTTCAGGGAGAGCAACAAAATGGTGGAAGTGGAAACTAGAATGAAGTCAGTTACTGAGTGACTAAAAAGCAAGGCAACAAACGAACTCTTTCAAGAAATCTGGCTACAGAAAAAAATATGAGAATGAAACACATCTTCTCAAACATTCTTCCTTAAAGATCAAGTACAAACAATATGTAACTAATAAGCACAGCTAAACCATTTAGTCAAGAAAAAAGAACTCCAGATGCTTTCCAAAAGAGCAGATACTTCTAACTTTAAAAAGTTTTCTAGTTTAGGGGGCTCTGGGTGGTGCAGTCAGTTAAGTATCTGACTCTTGATTTCAGCTTAGGTCATGATCTCAAGGTCATGAGATAGAGCCTGGCTTTGGGCTCTATACTCAGTATGGAGTCCACTAAAGACACTCTCTCTCCCTCTGTCCTGCCCCACCTCTCTTTCTCTCTCAAACAAATAATATCTTTAAAAATTCAAAACAATTTTTAAAATTAAAGTTTTCTAGTTTATAAATTAAAAATACTCTTTTAGGGGAAAGTCTTTCTCTAAATATATAATTCGATATATAAGAATATCATTGATACAAATGAATTATGATAGATACCATTTCAAAAAAGAACAAGCAATACATGTAATATATGTAGCTTATCTTCAAAAGAAAGGGCCGTCTTATCTGAAAATAGAAGAGCTATAATACAAAGCACCTTTTAAATTTTCCTTTAAAAAAGTGAAGAGATATATTGCTTACTGTAAATAATGTATTATGCTCCCATTATACCTACAACAGGAAGACAGACTTACATAGTAAAGGAGTACAAGTTTAATTCAGACAACTAGCCTTACTATTTACAGCTACAAAACCATAGATCATTGACTTCAACTCCCTAAGCCACAGTTCCCTCACTTATAAAATGGAAAAAAACAGTATCTACTTCACAGTTAAATGACATCATACAGAGTACTGAGGAAAGAGCATAGCACATAGTGAGTGCTCAAAAGCTGATAGCTATCATTTTAGCTAGCTATCATTAGCATACATAAGCACTGCATAACGCACTGAGCATACACCAATTTTCAGGTTATGGTATCACCTGAGAATGGATGACATGAAAACAGAGAGAAAATAGTAGCTGATATGCAAAAGGAGGTAACAGTGAAACAAAGCAAGTCTCAACTACAAGATCTCTCCTCCAAAGACAATGGAAAGGTCCTAAGATTTAATCTCAGGTATGCTGTTAAAGTTTAGCCTCATGTGCCAACTTGTAAAACACAGTACTATCAATGTGGACCTGCCTTGTGTCATGGTTAAGGGTAGACATCAGGAGATAAGAAGACCTTGACTCTGTCATTTACTAGCTGTCTAACCTATGGTAAATGCGTTAACTTCTCTAAGCCTCAACTTACTCATCTTTAAAGTGGGGATAATATGGATAATAATAATACCAATCTCAGAGAACTGTTCAGAAACTTAACTGAGACGACATATGAATGGTATTAATACAGTGCCCCGTACACAGCAAATACTCAAATAAAACAAATTATTACAGGGAGGTAAAGTTAAGATGAAAGACCACAGTGAAATGAGAATGGGAGGAGATCCTAGAAATATTATAGTAGTTTGAGGAGTATCAATCATATAGTGGGCACAAAAGAAAAAAATAAAGACCTCTCTAAGGGAAAAGAAAAAAAAGGAAAGATTTATTTCAACTTTTAAATTTAAAACTATAGGCATATAAAAATATCTAAGGCAGATAATAAAAATTTATAATAAAAAAAATAGGAACATGACTAATAAAGAAATGGTTAAATTATGGTAAAGCCATATGACATTAATACCTGCAACCATTAAAAAACATGTTTCAACACATACAATATAGCAGCATATTTTTAAAGTATTATTTGAATCTGTAAATATACTCATATCATACAAAAAGACAGAAAAGAGCTATTCAAAACTGTTAACAGCTATTTGTGAATAACAAAGCTAAAGGTAATTTTAAAGTCTGCCTTAAAAATAATAAAGTTTGTCTTTAAATTTTGATGAAAATTTTCAAAAAATTCTTTAACAAAGATGTATTACTTCATAATATTTTTAAAGCTATTTTAAGCATGTAAGGAGGTTTTTAAGACTAGTTATACAAAGTATACCAGTAATAAAACTAGTGAAATAATTCTGAGTTTACCTTGTAGCTCACTTTTAATAAGGCAACTTTCCATCATGTATAATAGCACAGTGACCATAATATCCAGCAGCTGACATTCTTCTGTTACCTGTCTGGCTAACTCTTCATTGCTGAACAACTGAACACTAATATGCACAATTCTGTTAGACATTGTGTCTGACTCGTGACTTTTCTTCAGTGTTTTCATAATGAAAGCATAATGCTGAACAAACGTTTTTGTGAAAGCAACCTGTAAATTTTTCAATAGGAAGAAAAAACATATTAGTTTAACTTTGAGTTTTATAACACATTTTCCAATATATTATATTAACATTTTAGAGCTATTATTAACTTATGATGACACCCACAGAAATTTTTAAAGTAATTTCAATGATGATGGTAGTCACATTCTTTTGTCTGAAACATTAGCAAAATACTTGGATGGTTAAAAAATTTTAATAGACATTTTAAATTATTAAAGTTTTAGAACAATTATAAATATCATGATTTAAAAATGCCAATTTTCACTTTGGTTACAAATATATCAATTCACTAATGTCGAAGTAGGTATCTTTGTTCTGTGCTATCTACTTTAACAACAAAATCTGAAGTCTCAGCTTAAAACCATACCAGAGGATTTAATATAATTAAAATCAAGAGAATCAATGTGATTAACTCCAAAAGAAATGTCTTCTCCTATTTGACTGGAAAACTGACCACTATCTGAGTAAATAAATACTCTATGTACCATACACACCACTTCTTCTTTTCTTAACCAGGTATAAAGACATAAAACAATGCCATTATTCATTAAAGTGTAACTCCTAAAGAGGCTTTATTATATAAACCATAAGGAGAACTACAGCCAAAAAAAAAAGGAAGAAGAAGGATAGCATAATTTATTTGACACTAGGCTGTGTCACTTTGCCATAACCATATGATGGTCATAAGTGAGAGTCTAGACCCTCTGGAACTACAGTCTTCACAGTCAATAACTGTTCTGTCTTTAACGGTTATGGCCAGCAGCAACTAACCCTGTGATTTTCTCAAACCTAACCTCACAAATCCACTTTTTTTTTAAAGTAATCTCTACACGTAACATGGGTCTTGAACTCATCACCCCAAGATCGAGAATAGCAAGCTCTACCAACTGAACCAGCCAGAAGCCCCTATAATCCCACAATCTAAATTCAGCTGACCCCTTAAACATTCTCATAGCACTTTGTAACTCTCCTTTGGAGAACCTACCACAATTTAATTGACTACATATTTACTTGTGCAATTATTTTTTTGTTTGTCCCCCAGCATTCTCTTTGGACCAAGTTCCATGCAGACAGACTACTCTTAGGAATACTGCTTTGTAAACTGCTTTGCCTCAGATCTATGATCTTGTGCTTTTTGTGCAAAACCTATTTTGACAACAAAAGAAGCTAATGCTTTTTATTAGTGTTATCTCAGTCCTCAAAGCTACAATAAAATAAGACACGGCTTTAAAACAAACCAAAAAATTTCATGATGAAAAGGTAAAGAAAGAGGAGCAAAGTTCAGAAAGGAAGGGAAAAAACATAGATACCTTATACTCTTGATCTGGAAGCATGTTGAGTAAGAAAGTTACCATCTTCTGAGGGAATTCATACTTTATAGTCCAAAACAACAGTTCTTCTAGAAAACTTTTATGTTTCAAAACATCCATTATAGATTGATCTACATAAAAAAAAGAAAACTTATCACCTAATGATTTAAGCTGCTCATCTCATTTAAACCTTACTATAATTAATAACCATTAACTTCAAACACTTGAGTGTATCTACAAATTAAGGACACCCTTTCAATAATTCAATAATACTGACATCATCAATCCAGGTTTCTACAATTTCCATGGTAAACAATAAAATACTTAATCCTTATATTTAAATAGGAAGCAGTTTCTAAAAAAATAATTATTTGCCCTTAACATAAGCCATTTATCTAAAATTTCTAAGATTCAAAATAATTATCCTACAAGAACAATATTTATGGTATTTATACTAATATTAATAATAATAATAATTTTAAGCTAAAAACAAAATATTAAAGCCATAAAGCCCAAAATTATTGAATCTTTTCATTTTTAGTTTTTAGAGAAAAGGGGGGAAATTGTTATAGGATTCAATAATTTATTTCTTTAAAATTGTTCTCCAGAAATGAAATACTAATTTTGCTACAGGAAGTAATTACTAATGTATTGCTTACTCTAGTATATACAGAAGCATTTACTTCTTATCTAGTAAGAATATACCAGGAAAATTATAAAGAATGTTATACATTGAAGATGCTCTTCTTTATGCATAGGGAAACAGAAAATGGATGTCCCTTTTAAATACAAGGATTCAAAAAGGGATAAAATTACTACACAAGCCAATTTCTAAGCTACTCCTTGAGGACTACTCTGTCTCCTACTAATCTCTGCAACCCTGTCACACTGAGTCAACAGAAAGGTCTCAACAGATATATAATAAACTGAATATTTTTAATACTTTGGCTATTTCTTTCTCTCACCTTAGTGTCTTTCCCTAAAAAAGAACTACAAAATTCTGACTTCATCTTTGTTGGAGCAAATGATCTTGGGCTTGGGCTACTGCTCTTGATTACCAGGTCAATTATAAGGACATTTTAGAGCATACAGCAAGTGTCAACTGTGAATGGATTGGTTCAGTGATAATGCTTACACAAGAACTAGAGTTAAACAAAGGATTCTAAAAAATAATATCACATACGACAAAATACCCATGTATAGCCCTAAATTGAATTATAGTTCAAGTTAGCTTATAGAGTAACCCTGAAGAATTTTTTCAATTAACCCTACCCTACCTCAGTCTCACAGTTCTCCTATTATTGAGTAATGTGGTCACACCACATCTCCTCAGGTCATGGGCCTAAAAATGTCACAATAAGGGCACCTGAGTGGCTCAGTCAGTTAAGCATCCAACTCTTGATTTCAACTCAAGTCATCATGTCAGGGTCCTGAGATTTAGCCCTACATTTGGCTCTACGCTCAGCGCAGGGTGTGCTTGTCCCTCTCCCTTTGCTCCTTCCCCTTCTTGCACTCACACACTCTCTCTCTAAAATAAATAAAATCTTTTTTTAAAAAATGTAATAATAAGCAGGCCATCAATAAGCATGCCATATCTCTCTTGATTCTTCTTTAAAACATTCTAATTTTTTTTAAAAGATTTTATTTATTTGACAGACAGAGATCACAAGTAGGCAGAGAGGCAGGCAGAGAGAGAGGGGGTAAGCAGGCTCCCTGCTGAGCAGAGAGCCTGATGTGGGGATCTATCCCAGGACTCTGGGATCATGACCTGAGCTGAAGGCAGAGGCTTTAACTCACTGAGCCACCCAGGTGCCCCTAAAACATTCTGATTTTAACAGGCTTGAATAAATACTTATTAGACATAACTTTAACCCAATTTTTCTGTTAATAATTAATAACCCATTATTTTTAGAATAATCTTTAGAATCTCCATTATTCTGGAGATACTACGAATTTAACTACAGAGAAGCAAAAGTTATATCCCAATTTCCTAACTCCCTTTCAGTTTGCCTTTGGTATAAGCAATATTTAATAGCGATAAAAATATAAATACAGGGGCGCCTGGGTGGCTCAGTGGGTTAAAGCCTCTGTCTTCAGCTCAGGTCATGATCCCAGGGTCCTGGGATCAAGCCCCACATCAGGTTCTCTGCTCAGCAGGTAGCCTGCTTCCCTCTCTCTCTCTCCCTGCCTGCTGCTCTGCCTACTTGTGATCCCTGTCTGTCAAACAAATAAAAATCTTCAAAAAATATATATATATAAATATAATTATACTATACATCCCAGTGGAAACTATTTATTCTTTATTTTCTAAATCTCAGAATTTTCTACTTATAAAACAGAAATCTCTTCCTCCTGAACTAGATCATTCCCAGGATACAACAATGATTTTAAAAATAGAAATAAATAAATCTTGCAAAAAATGAGGTAAAATATATTCAAAGGCACACAGTGACAGAGTCAAAGCCAAAAAAAATAAAATTAGGGCCCAAGTGAATCAGGTGGACAAAATTATATTCTAATTTTGAATATAACCCAGAGCATATTACTGATGTCAGTTTAATTCTTACAATTCATTTAGCACTAATATGATTGAAAATTTTAGACTACCAAAAAAATAAATAAATCCTCAAAGATAAGTGTTTCTAAAAATATTTACAAAATTAAAAAAACTTGTAGTATTAACCTGAGAACTCAGTTATGACTCTGCAAGTCTGCATTTGCCAAATGAAAGCCTGGAGCTACCATAATTATTTTATATATTATATTATATTATATATAATATAATATATTTAATATAATATATATATTATATATAATATAATATAATATATATAGAAAAAGGTATTCATTTTTTAAAATAAATAATCCAAATGAACCAGAAAAGCTTTAACTTCTACTAAAATCAAAATAACTGCAATTATGTACGATTCCATTTTTTCATCGCCAAAGAAAAAAAACCACAGTATCTTCACTGTCATTGTTCTTAAAATAAGTGATGTCATTTTCCCCAAGATATTTAAAACATGAGTGATGTGCTTTGTGTTATGCTATGGAGATGTGGTTAGAATGCTTCCATTAGTTATGTATAACGACATATTTGTCTTTAAAATCTGGATTTAAATTGTCATGATTTTTAGAATGCCTAAACTACCTTAAGCCAAACTGTAAAAAGAGATTTTAGAGCAATCAGTATGTGGTACAAATGCATGAGTAACATAAAGATTTTCATTAGACAGCAGAGTCCAGGATCCATAACTCAGGAGCTCAATAATCTCAGCCACGTTAGCTGAAGCCCTATAGGCCTCAGTTTCTTCATCCTTAAAATTTAGGTTTAGAAACGAGACAGTGAATGTGGCACAGTGCCTCAACCTCTTGCCTATTACTATCTTTTATTTTCAGCTCACTTTCAAACCATTGAACCACATTCTTACAAAAACTAAACCAATTCTTGGACTTCTGTTATCTTCAAAAACAACTACCACTTTTTGAAAACAGAGGTTCTACTAATTCAAAAAGCCATTCTTCCATGCACATACTTAAAGCAAAAATGGTAACTGATCAAGTCTTAAATCTCTGTAGCACTTCTCACCAGTGGAGGAAAGAAGAGAAGATAATCTAATCTCAAATATGAAAAAAAAATCAGGACTAAAATAAGCTTCAATTTTAAGTCTCCATAGAAAGTATCTTCATCCAACATTTGACCAGACTGTAGGAAAACAATGATCTCTCACACCATATCAAGTATTTTTTTTTTTTTTTAGACATCCCTAAAACTGAAACTCAAGTATGTACCTAAGAGTCCACTTCAACTCAGATGTATGTCAAGGACTCAGGTAAACACACAGACAACTCTGGTAAGTCAAAGGCCAGGTCACCATATGAGTTCTAACTTCCTTCAGGCATCACAATTTCCCTGCTAGGCAAGGAAGAAGGGGAACATGAGTACACATGTGCATCCTGGATCACAGATCAAATTTCATGCCCTTTGCTAGGGTTGAGCCAAGGGCAGGCCACCCCAAGATGGACTCCTTTGGTATGAAGATGAGGAGGTTCCTCAAAAAAATAAACACAGAAATACCATGTAATCCAGTAATTCCGCTACTGGGTATTTAACCGAAGAAAACCAAAACACTAATTTGAAAAGATATATGCACCCCTATGTTTACTGCAGCGTTATTTACAATGGCCAAGATATGGAAGTTTCCATCAACAGACAAATGGATAAGGAAAATGTGGTGTATATACACAATGGAACATTAGGCACCCATAATAAAGGATGGGATTGTCATGAGACAACATGATGGACCTAGAGGAGGATATTATGCTAAGTGAAATAAGTCAAACTGAGAAACACAAATACCATATGATTCCACTCATAAGCGAAATCTAAAAATATATCTATAAATATATATGTATGTAAATATATATGTGTATACACACATACACACACACACGCAGAGCAGAATCAGACCTATCAATACACAGCACAAACTGATGGTTGCCAGAACAGAACAGGTGGGGAGATAACCAAAAAAGGGTGAAGGAGAGAGGGAGATACCAGCCTGCAATTATGGAATCAGTAAGTCGTAGGAATAAAAAGCAGACCCCAAGGAATACAGTTAGTGATCCTGCAATAGTGATGTTACAGGACAGATGGTAGTTACCTACACCTGTGAACATACCATAACGTAGAAACTTGTCAAATCACTAAGTTGTATACTTGAAACTAATGTAACTTTGTGTGTCAACTATATCAAACAAAAGCAATCAAAACCAGCAGATTCAGGAAAACCTCTTTGCCTTCCCCATCAACAACCTAAAAAGAATTCAGACAGAGGACCCGCTCCAGAAAGAGAGCTATCACCATAGATAACTACATTATGATATAAACTAAGTATGGTAGACAGGGAGGAACCTAGCAAGACCTGTGTCCCATTGTTTCTAAGAGGCCCAGCAAATATTTATTTATCAAATATTTACTCTTTCCCATTTTTCTGTGATTTTCATGTCTTCCCTTTGAAGTTCCAGACCTTACCCATTTCTCCCTAGTTCAGAATCACCTATATACTTTATTTTGCCTGTTTTGGGAATTTCCACATCTGTGTGAATTCCCCATACATACACCATTAAATTTTATTTTCTCCTGTTAATCTGTTTACTGTCTTCTTAGTCTGCCTAGAAAGATCTTGAGCAGTCCCCAAGACTAGGAGCTCCAAGTTAAATGCAGCAGCATAACTAACTCTGAACAGACTTGCAAAATGAGCCTCAACTGAAACTGCCTGCTTGTTCCACCTTTCCTAGCAGCTATAAATATTCCAAGAGATACACTCAGCACCAGAAATAATAATTATCTTCTTTTCATCAAAATAATAATTCAACCTCTGGAGACTCTCTAACAGACAGACGATACTATCGAGGATATAGACCATGTTAAGATCTGCAAATCCATGGCAAAAATCCAGAGCACAGGCTGTCAACGAGTAACAAGTACTCTAGAAAATTTTTTAGTAAGGGTCAAGAAAACAGTGATTAACAGCTTAGGCTCTGGTATTTGAATTAAGGATCTATTTCTCATTAGTTGTGATCTCTAACATGCCTCCATTTCCTCATTCATAAAATAGTAATAACAGCAATAACAATAATAATAATTACTGTTTTGTATGGTGACTTTAAGAATTAAATGAACCAACTTATGTGAAATATCTGGCACTATGTCTAGCATGTACAAAAAGATCAATAAATATTACTCATTATTATCATTAATCTAGTCCCTTACTACAGACATGCCTACTTCCTCCTCTGAGCAAACATATTGAGCCCTTACTGAACCCTTAAAAGAGTGCCACTCATTTTTATTCTCTCCCACCTCCCACCTCTCTCTCTCACCATCTCTCCCATACTTATGTTTTTTCACTGTAGAAACTACATACCCCAGATTATAAAAAGACGTAACTCAATCTAAACTTTATACCAAAAACACTGGATCCAAATCAAAGAATCAGTGAAAAGATTCACTTTTTTTTTTTAAGATTTTATTTATTTATTCGACAGAGAGAGATCACAAGTAGACAGAGAGGCAGGCAGAGAGAGAGAGAGAGAGAGAGAGAGAGAGAGAAGCAGGCTCCCTGCTGAGCAGAGAGCCCAATGTGGGACTCGATCCCAGGGCCCTGAGATCATGACCTGAGCCGAAGGCAGCGGCTTAACCCACTGAGCCACCCAGGCGCCCAAAGATTCACTTTTTTAATGGCTCAAATATAATAAAGCACATCTTATGAAAAAAAAATAAACAAAATTCCAATAGTAAGAGTTTCATTTGCTTTTGAGGTCCCCCACAATCACCCCCTAACAATACTTTCTCCATCATTAGACAAATGTAAGAACATAACTCTCCCTTCAAAGTGGCTAGCCCACCAAGTGTTCTTAATGATTAAACATTTTTAAATGTTTAAATATTTTTATTTTTAGCTTTTTTTTTTTAAGTTTTCATTTAAATTCCAGTTAATTAACATACAGTGTCACATTAGTTTCAGGTATACAACAGAGTGATTCAAAACTTCCATACACCACCTGGTACTCATCACAACAATCGCACTCCTTAATCCCCCATCACCTGTTTAACCCATCCTCCCACCTACATCCCCTCTGTTAACTATCAGTTTGTGTCTGTAGTAAAAAATCTGTTTCTTGTTTTTCATTTTTAGCTTTTTACACAAGGAAAAAATTAAATATAAATACCTTTGGTGCTACTGCTTAGTTTGACCCTCTTTCTCTTGCCCAGACCTTGACTCCCATCCTGATCCTCCTGGAGGAAAACAAAATTAGCATCATATACAGTCCTATTCATGAATGTATATATTTCACATAAAGTAGAAATATGCTTATAAATTACATTAAACATGTAACACAGGCATGCTTACACAGTATTAATCACCACATTTCACTTTTATGTATATACCGTAATAAAATTTTTTATTTTAAAATTAGCATAATATATAATGAAAATCCTTAGTATTAAAATACAAGAGCTCGTAAATTTAATCTGTGCTTTTAATGAAAGACTTATAAAACGCAAAAATGTCAAAATAAAAAATTTCCTATTAAAAAAACTTTCCTAACCTTATAAATGTAACATCAAATGCACAAAGAATATAAAGAGGAGGAGGGAAGCAGATTAGCATAGGAAGAAAGAAGAGCAACGGAAGAGGGCTAAAACAATGCATAGAGAAAAGGCTTTGAAGGATCTGAGAGAAAAAAGGAGTTCAAAAAATCAAATTCTGAAAAATAAATATAGGACATTAAATGCTAAACTTGACAGTTTAAAAAAAAATTTTTTTAAGATACTTAGGGAAAAAAATTCCAAGAAGGAAATACAGGCATTTCTGCATATATGTGATATATTCATTCCTGAAAAAAATTCACATGAAAAATAACAAAGCCTATGGAGAAAAAAAGATGGGCAGACCACTCACAACCTATTCAAGATTGTAACCAGAGAAGTAACAAAAGCAATAATCCGTCTCTGGGGATATCATTTGGATGCCCACACCAACATCTTGCCGTGGTTTGAGGCTGTCTCAGGGGATGTTAGCACAGCATCACAACAACAGAACAGGAACCTAGCCAGCTAAGAGAGCACAGAGGGAAAAGGAGCAGAGGAAACAACAGCCTGCCCCTCCTGCAACCAATGTGAAGCTAGAAGTGTGCCTCCTGGGGAGGGAGCCCTGGATGCAAGTGCTCATTTCTAAATTTCTTTAAATGTTGCTGAAAAGGTTCCTTCGCAGCAGAATTCACATTTTTTCCCCTCCAGCTGAAGGATAGGATTCTACACCCCATTATCCTAGTTCTCCTGAACTAGGAAAGATTGCAGAGGAATCCCAAACCTCCATGTAATACTGACATCTTTTTCCTATTTTCCAACATATATGAGCCAAATGATCTTCTAAAGACATGTGGTAGTTTGCTGTACTAACAATGGTGTTGTGCTGGTGGTAGCAGTTAGAACTGTGGTACAAATTCCCAGGTACTTTCTCAATTACAGCCCACCAAATCTCCAAAGCAGAAAAGTAGTCTTGGCTTCATGCTGCTGTTTTATCAACTAGTATGGCTTTCTCGGCCTATACACCACCACAGCCTTAACTTCAGGTTTCTGGCAAACCTAGCATTCATCCTCAGGGGTTCGATTTTCCGAAGACACCATTTAGCTCTGTCAATTAGCATTTACCCAGCACTTCCATATGCCCTCCCTATGAATCCCCACCTTTGCCAGTCCTCTCTGACCACCTACCACCTGGCAGCAGTACTGACAGTCAAACTACACTCTCCTCCTCTTCTACCACTTTCACTTTCTCTTGGAGTAACTTGCGAAAATGATATTTGGAGGCTTAAGAGACAAAAAGCAGACACAAGAATATAAAATCATGACACAGGGTCCAGAGGGTTCTAAAGTGTGAGATCTAGCTATCAGCCATTTGTAAAACTGTTCTCCCAATCCTCAGAGAAAAGACAAATTTGGGGGAAAAAAAATCTATAACCCAGGCTATGATTACTTCATAATTTCAAATACAAACTCCCTATAAAAAGAGCATCCTTGATCAAGCAATGGTCATGGCATAACAAAGTTCTATAAATTTCCCAACCTTACAGTCTAAAAATCAAGTAAAATTAACCAAGCAAAGGAGAGGAAAGCCATTCCAAGAAAAGACAGCATGAACAAAACCACAACGATGAAGTCTGGAAACAGACCAGTAAGTTGGGTTTCACATCATGGTAGATTATCAAATACAGCTAGGAAGGGAGATTAAAGATTTTTCTGAATGGCCATTTGTCAATACACATGTCAAAAGCCATTAGGTATATTTATCATTGCAACGGAAGTTTTAGTTATAGGAATTTATCCTAAAGAAACAGACAAGTGAATAAGGACTAGATGAATAACTATTTATCATAATGTTACCTGTAACGCAAAATAAAAGAAACTTTGGCTTCCAAGAGCAGGTGATTAGGTAAATAAATCAGAGCATACCTGTACTCTAAGGAAAACAATGCTAGAGCTCTTTTTTCATTGTGACCAGATATTTCTTCAAAAACCATTAAAAATTAAAAAGGCATGCTATATAGAATAGCATAAAGAGTACGAAACATTTAAGTACTGATAACATACACATATAAAACCTGTTAAAATATATTTCTTATGAAGTTCAAAACTGTCATTAGTGAGAAAAGCAGGTTATAGAGTAGCATGTATAGGATGAAACCATTAAACTATTAAAATATACTACATATAAAATCTGTTAGAATACAGAGTCTACAATTAGCCACCTCTAAATAATAGAGTAATATATAATTTTATATTTTTGTTAATTTTTACTTTCTATTTATTCAACAATGAATATGGATTATAGTTTTAAGTTAATAAATAAATTTTAAATATGGTTCTGATTTCCAATCCTGTGACGATCTGCTCAAGATAACTGATTACTATGCTATCTATTACAAGTCCCACATTTTGTCTTGAGAAAAAACAATACTTCTAACAACCGGAAGAACTCCCAGAGGTGAGAATTTCAGGATTAAAGAAGATGAAAATACAGTTATCATAACCACAATGCCACACCCAACCCCAAATCCATGATAGTAAGTTTTAGTTCTTCCCTATTTATCCATGAAGAAGCAGCAGAGAAAGAACCCTGGGAAAAAATCAGAGTTCAATGGACAAGGAAGGAAATAAATCAAGTACAACCTCTATCCAGAGAGCATTTGTGCAGCCCAGAAAAACACTTTTGAAATCTTAAACAATACCTGGGCAGGGAAGTGACACCTTACCACATGTGTTTCAGGCCCAAAATATATATAACGTCCAAAATGAGATAAGATCCCAAAAACCCATTCAAACTCCTAGCCTGTAAAATTTACAACCAAATTAATCTTTCTTATTTTATGAATTTACTAAGCAGATGAAAAAAATATGACCTCCATAAAAAGAAGTTGGTAAATTCACAGATGGTTAAAAAAATACTCAAAGGCTGTTAATACAGAATATACAAGGCTAAAAGGAATATTTAACATATCAGATTATAAAAATAAAATCCAAAGATCTTGAAGACTAGAACAATAAAATGAAACACAGACTTAAGTAAGCCACTATAATCTGAGATTGTTTACTTTAAATCAACTTTACAAGTACAAAGCAGAGAGGGACCTCTAGCTTGTCAACTGTTCAGTGTTGGAGGGATGGGAGGGTCAAAACCTAGGCATTTCATTTTTGACCACGGGGTTCCTGCCAACATCTAGCATAAACGCTAAAAGGCCTATTAAAAAAAAAAAATGGACTTTAACTAACAGTATGCTTATCGAAAGAGAGCCCATGCCTGTCTATTGAATCAAATCACACAATGAAAAGGGAGTGAATAGATGAAAAAGGCATGTACAGCAGAAAATATTAAATCACTAAAGCTAAAGATTTAAGGAGGTGTCTTATGGAAGTAAAAACAAAAACTTTTCAGGGACAACTGGGTGGCTCAGTCAGTTAAGCATCTGCCTTTGGCGTAGGTCACAATCTCAGGGTCCTGAGATCAACCCTGCATAGGGCTCCCTGCCCAGCAGGGAGTCTGCTTTTCCCTCTCCTCTGCCCCTCCCTGCTGTGCTCCCAATGGCATACATGTGCACTCCAGCTCGCCTGCTCTCTCAAGTAAGTAAATAAATCTTTAAAAAAATAAAAATAGGGGCGCCTGGGTGGCTCAGTGGGTTAAAGCCTCTGCCTTCGGCTCAGGTCATGATCCCAGGGTCCTGGGATCAAGCCCCGCATCGGGCTCTCTGCTCAGCAGGGAGACTGCTTCCTCCTCTGTCTCTGCCTGCCTCTCTGCCTACTTGTGATCTCTGTCTGTCAAATAAATAAATAAAATCTTAAAAATAAATAAATAAATAAAAATAAAAATACTTCTAAAGGAAAAAAATAAGAATGTGTGAAAATTACAGTATTTAGCACAGTATTGAGAAGAACATCCTTATAATAATTAGAGCTATCAAACAAAAGAACAAGTTGCCTCAGAAACTAAGTAAACTCCCTATCATTGCAAGTATTTATGAAAAGGCTTACCAACTGTCAGGAATGTTGTAAAATCAATTCCTGCACTGGAAAAGCAATTCACTAGACATTTCTAAGCTCCTGCCTAAAGTTTCTATGATTCTCTACCTCATAACCATTAATGTAATTTATGATTAGATTAAACCTTCTACCTCCAAAATAAAACTAAATAATACTATTTTTTTTCTTTTACCTATTAATTTATGAAAAGCAACTCTGTCTTTCAATTTCAATAATCCTGCTTTTGCCACATTTTGACAAATTAGTTTTAACTGCTCATCTGGATTCTGTCTTGAATAAAGGCAAGAGTATTGAAAGCATATTTACATAGTAACTTACTTCAAGTATTTCTCAATTACCTAAAAGTATGCAAGAAGAAAAAAAAAAGACTAGAAGTAAACAAGCAAAATTAATAAATCATGGTTATCTCTGGATGGTACAGCTGAAAATATTTACCATGTTTTCTTTTTATGCTTTTTTCTACCTTTTTAATTTTTGCACAATGGACATTCATAATTTTACAGTTTCACAGAGGGAAAAGTGTCTTAAATGCCTTCATCTGTACTAATAGCTAAGTACATCAATGTCACAGAAATTAATGATCTGGTCATTGCACACATATGATAATGGCAACAGTGAATATAATCTTAAAAAATTATCTTGATTTAAAAGATCCTATTTTCTCTGACAAATTCTAATTAGACCTATGTACATATGAT